GAGCCCTGAGCTCCCAGGGCGTGTTTAACCCCGGGCTGTGGGAAGGTTGTGGACTTTTCCATGAGTACTCGGTACTGTGTAAATGGTTTTTATCCGCAATCCTCTAATATAGCCCGCATTTAGAAAAGGTGGGAAGACATCTTCCCAAATAGGCAGGGAGCTTGGATGTTCCACCTGACCAGTGATTGCGGCCTGGTGGGCTCGGCCAGTGGTGCCCTAGGCTGCTGGCCTCCTTAGGAAAATTGATTAAGTACATATAAGTAGAATGGCTAGATGAGGAGGAAAAAAAAGGAAAAAAGGGTGCTAAGGGGGGGGGGTTATACTGATTACGTTATACTGATCCTAAAGATGTATTTTCGGATGTGTTTATATCTCGGGAAATAAATAGTACAAATTGTTCGTCTTTAAACCTCGAAGCACTATACTAATCCTATGTAACGATAATCAAAATATTTAACTCGCTGCTGTGCTTGACTTTGTTTTATGATTTGCATGGTCAATTCTTAAGTATGAAAAACGCGCCTGCAGATGCTCGATAAGCTCTGCTATCAGGGTCGTTGAGAACAAGCAATTCGGACAGCTATGAGTGATGCCGCCCAAATTTCGGAGGGAGTAGCTCACCCTCAGCTATGTGGCGGCGTCCTTGCCAAACCGGGACAACCGCTTTCAGGTTCGATCCTTAGATGACAGTGTAGTAGAATATACGAGCGACTTCAGACCCGGACGCGACCTCTAGGAATTCGCTTAGGCGAAGCATCAGGGCTGGGTCACTTGGGGTACTCGAGCTGGACAACCGGCTGACTGGTCCTCCCAGCCTTACTCGTTCGGTTAAGATCTCCCGTGCTTAGCCAAGTCATATACTCCGCCATACCTTTACCGTAAGTTCTTGAAGCTGAAATCAATGTGCTGGTTTTCCGTTCGCCTTTACAGACGGGTCTAAGAAAGATGAATGTGTGGCGTGTACCCTGAATCTTCGTCGTTTCGTACGGCAGAACTTTAAAAGATTTGGCACGCGCTTGTGGTGATGCGAGATGATGGTGGCTCTGCCTACCTGGTCTGCACCGACTCCCTCAGCGCTATTACTGCTGTCTGTAGCAGGTTTTCCGTAGTGCTTTTGTTGGGGAGATACCACGAATTGGAGCGTTTTGGCAAAACGATGGTTGTTGTCTAAGTACCTGGACACATAGGTCTGGAGGGTAATGAAAAGTCGGACGAGTCGTCTAAGGCCGGGACGTCCCAACCTCCGAACTTAACCACCACGATCCGGCTCTCCGACGCTAAGAATGCAATAAAAACATAATTATAATAAACTGCGGATGGCAGCGTCAATGGGCCGGATCGACAGAGAAGCTCTCGTGTATCAAGGGCACTGTCGATGGGTGGCCCTCGGAGGATCTGACTCGTAGAAAAAGGTCTATCCTTACCCGACGCCATGCGATCCTTTTTTAAAAAAGGATTGAACACCGCATTCACTCCATCATTCACCATTTCTATAAGCCATGCGAGGTTGAAACATACAGGCCGAAGACACATCCAAATTCCTTTTGTTCAAATGTTTTTGGCCTACTTTACGGAAAGAGTGTTTTGTATTTTGTAACTTTTTATATACCTAATCTCATTTAATACACTCCTGCATTTCATGTTCTTATTCTAGGTAAAAATATAAAAAACTGATATCATTGAAAAATATGCACTACGAAGGCAGAAACCCTAATTAAAAAGAATATGTTAACAATTTAAACCCGCGATCGTGGGTTCGACTTCCTTTGTAGTTTGTCGCCGCTGAAATTTTCTATCACACTTCCCTTCCACCATACAAATCAACCATCACAAGTACGTTCTCTGACTAATATGGAAAACATAAGGCCATATTTAAAAAAAATGCTTTTTTACTTTACTAGGAGGGTCTGGTAATTTTTGCAAGTTTTTAATGTATTTAATATAATTTAATAAGATCTTGCATATTATTTTCTTATAGGTATTGGTAATGCAACAAAAGCAGAAAAACATATTTGAAAAAATTATTTAAATTAGTTAGGATACTTTTTCTCGGCTCCTAGGGCCCATTGGCAAGAACATTGACAGTTTTCTAATATCTTTCGACCTAGTGTTGCCAAAAAAAGTCTCATTTTTTCGTTTTCATCCCACGTCTGTAGCCTCTCCTTGGATGAGTTGGAAATAAGCAGATCAAAAAACAATTTTCAAGTTATTTTAAACAACAAATCCTAAAAAACGTAAATTCACAAGTAACGCAATAGTTTCAATATTTCTACAATCTCAATACAGTTTTTTTATTGAAATTTATTCCAAGTTTTGGTAAAGTTTTAGCGATTTGCAAATTTAAATACGTGCTTTGTTTTAAAGGCACAATTTTTCTTCTTTTTACCTTTCTTGGTTACGATGAACTAGATTATCGACCTGCTGGATACAAGAAGTCTTTTCAGAGGATCTTCGGAAGAGGTCAAAACAGAGAAAACTTCCTTACGGTTTTCGCCGAGCTTTCGACAGTTTTATACTGTCATCTTCAGGGCCTGTTTTATTATCATATAAACAAACAATTAAAACATGAAAAAACAANTTTTATTTTAATTTTTTTTAATGATTATTTAGAGATCGTGCGATGGGTCTGGTGTGATGTAGGTTTAGAAAAACATTTTCTTTGTCGTGCCAACGTTTCGATCTTTATTGAGATCATCTTCAGGGCCTGGGATTTATAAACATTGTTTAAATTATACAAATGAATTTATGCAATGGTGTACACAATATAGAAATTTTAGGTTCAATCAAAGTTTTTATACTACATAAAGTGTGTGTTTTCTGTGTAAATGTGTTACTGTTGTGTGTCGTGTTGAGAGTGTTAGTGAGATATCAATGTTTTTGTTTATACATGTTTGATTTTGAAGGCGTGGGAAGGAAGTGGTGATAGACATTTATTTTTCTATGAGGAGTCGGCTTCTTTGAGTGAAAAGGACCGACAATACTATATCGCTAAATTATACACACTTTTCTTTTAATTTAAAACAATTGTTTTAAAAATTTCCATGGCTTCATAGTTTAAATGGCGGCATAATAAAACGATTTAAAAAAGACTCCTGCTTATGCTTATGGAATGTCCACAAACGTCTTAAAAATAATAAATGAAGCAATCCCCCCCCCCATTGGCACATTAGATAAACCTACGTTTTGGACAGGGATATTTCCTTCAATTTATAAAGTTGTAACACCTGTTTTCAAATGAAGCGGCTTTAGAAATAATATTAAACAACTTCATATATAAAAATGAAACTCTTTCTTCTTGCCAATTTAGCTTTAGACGGGGTCGGGGAACCGGTGGTTTGTTGCACTCTTCAGAGTACACTGCAGTATATTTATGAAATTCTAGAAAAAAATAATGTTAATTATATTGATACTGTGCGATCTGACTCGAGCTTTTGACACAATAAATCACGACCTATTCTTAGAGAAACTAACAGCATTATGGTGTTAGGGGTACTGCTATTTAATTTTGTAAAAGATGCCTTGTAAATAGACAACAAATTGTACAAGTTAACAATAACACTTCACGTCAGCGAACTGGAATATGTGCCGTACCTCAGGGTTCAATCCTAGGACCACTTTTCTTTTAACTTTTTTAAATTTTTTTTATTGCTTTTATTGTATATTACAATTTTTATATACGTTTCTTTTAACGTATATGTCAATGATTTAAGCAGCTTTGTAAATGAGGTTTATGTTAATATTAAGCTATTCCAACTTAATGATAATACAAGTTTCATATCTAGCTGTGATTAAGTTTTATGGATTTTTAAGCTGTATAAATGATTATTTTCACTTCAATTTCCTGGTTTTAAATGTTGAAAAATAATCAGTTTTTTTCACTAACGGGATTTGATATTAATGTTAAATTCTTAGGGTTCAAATTTTACAATAACTTAAGTTGGCATAGTCACATTAATGAAAAAAGTATAAAACTTCCAAAAGTATGCTATGTAATTTAAAAAATTGAGGTATCAAGTAGACAGTAACGTCTTGAAAATGCTGTACATCTGTCTTTTCCAGGGTATAACTGGCATAGTTGGAGAAGCTATGCTGTGAAGATTTTTAAAGTTACAAAAGAAAGGCTTTGCGCATAATGTGCTACAAAGAACACAGTAAACTTCTAATTTGTAAATTAAACGTGATTACTACCCCTGGTTTGGTCGGGCATTCTAACATTAAATATTTAAGAGAAAAGTTACCAAAGGGTCTGCAATGACACCTCAGTAAATACTAAGCGGCCAACAAAACTTAGAACTGCCGAAAAAAAAGTATTTAATAGTAACGATTTGTTCGCCAAGAATTTTCAATATGTTGCCATTGACTGTATGAGAAAAGTCCACACATAAGTTTATAAATATCGTAAAGGAAAAAAAAACATAAAAAAATCCTTTTACAATGTGAAAAAATATCGAATTGTAAGCCTTAATGAAATATAATTATAAATTATTTCTTAGATCCTTAAACTTATATTACACAAGATTGAACTATTGCCATGAATTACTAAAAATAAATTCAACCAAATACTATAATTTTTCTTATAACAGGGTACATAAATATATTTATGAAAATATAATTAATATCAGAAATTTCAGAACTTTAGTCAGTTACCGAAAATTTATACATTCATACATTCTTGACTATAATAGATTAAGTTTCTCAGTCTTTTTTTTAAATAATATTATTTTTTACTTTTTTTATTATAATAAAAATTTTACAACCCCTGCTATCCGACACAACTATTTATACTTATGGCAAGCAGGCTGTAATAGAAAAGTAACAAATTATTTTTATAATTATGTGCTAATTTTTTTATTGTCGACTTCCAATCTAAAAAACTGTATTACCTTTTGTATTTTCCATTATGGCGAAATAAAGATTTATTATTATTATTACGAGGGACAAACTAAAATAAAAATTTCCCTGGTCAGTTTTTAATATTTCAAAACTTAAAAAGAACTTACGAAAGAGCTGATCCAGAATAGACTTAAGACGAGGTAGCGGCCGTGGGAACAATTTCGTTACTGGGATCTATTGCAACTGCTCCCGTGCTTGAGATGAAACATGTGAAATGAGTAAAAGTAGAAGGGATCCCCCTCTTTGAAACCCATATGTCCGCGCGAAATATTCTCTAATACCAAGTTTAATAAATAATAGTATAATCATTACCACAGGGAAGGGGGGGGGGCAGTTGTGGAGGAGCGTTCTTCATCCTTTACCCTATACAGCATCGAGACGCCTTTAAGGCTAGTATACACTCATAGACAAAATCGCGTGACTGTCTACAGACAAACAGCCGATTTTGTCTGTAGACTGTTGCGGAACAAATCCAAGATGACCTAGAACCTTAGTCACGCATCCACACATGCACAGCTCAGTTAAACTAGCTTCCGTTATAACATGACGAGTGAGATAGTGGGTTGCGGCTTTGATATTTGTGCAATTTTCATTTTTGACCAAAAAAAGGAAAATTAATCGTAAACGTTGCTGGACAAGGGCCGTCTTAGCAGATGGTCCTTATTTCTCCTTTCATATTGCGGTTTTTATAATCTTTCGATGTGACATCCCATAAACAACGCCATCCACACAGTGTTATATCTGGATGTTTCAGAAGATGAGACCTCATAATGTTGTGGACCCAAAAACCATTAAGGTCTGGTCATAAATCTGAAAAGTCCAAAATTCCGCGCCTGGTTCTTCTTTCTTCGTTCTTGATTATTACTTGAACCATTTTCTTCGATGATGTGAGGCAGTCTTGAGGCTACACCACTTTTCTGGTTGATCAAAGGAAGAAGCCATAAAGTGCAATTCCATTCAAACGTAGTAAAGTCCATTAGGACTGAATTCTTGCTATGATTTGGAATCATATGTCTATGTCGTCTGTTCATCGAAGTAGTAAGTTTTGATCAAGAGGATGGCATTTGGAACATGGAGTGGCAGACCTGGTATTGGTTTATACAAAAAAATCCTGTTTTATAGCTTTTAAAATTAGCTTTTATTATTAAATTTTAGAATGGTCAAATTTATTATTTTCTTGTTTGTTTTTATTTTTGTTATTGTTATCATTTTTTTCTATTTTTTTAAATAATCAAAATGAAGTGAACTTTTAATTTTTGGCATGATTTTGTACTTTTTTATAAATTAAATTAACAACAAAATGAAACTTTAAAGAGACTGATTTGTGTAACTTTTAATAAACAGTTAAGGATTAAAATATAGCTTAATTTATACTAGGTTGATTACATGCTTTAAGTTGCGTTATGTGTGCCTTTCTTATTTTTTGGGGATCGTTTATATCTCCTAGCGTTGGCTTTTCCTATTTGATCGTTTATAGTTATTTGGTACATTCAAACAGTTCATATTGGTAACGTATTTAGAGGATAACGACTGGGCGGTGCTAAAGGAAGCTCAGCGCGCAGCCCTGCTCGCTGTCACCCAGGCATACAGGACTGTATCCACGATGGCCCTACAAGTCATTGCTGGCCGACCGCCCATCGATCTAAAAGCAAAAGCCTTATGCGCCAAATGGGAAATAAAGAATGGACGCCTACCTCGCATCCCAGCCACGAGCACGGAAGAAGCAGATGAGTGGATGGTGAGGGAATGGCAGCTGGGATGGGACGATTCTTCTAAGGGTATCGACTCCTCCCCAACATAGCAAATCGACTGAAGATGAAGCATCTAGCCATTTACCATTACACGTCTCAGCTAGTGACAGGACATGGAGATTTTACCGCGAAGCTCCATGCCTTCAGACTCAAACCAAGCCCGATGTGCGAGTGCGGAGAAGAAGAAACGGCGGAACATGTCTTGCTTAGATGTGAAATCCTCATCGTTCCCCGAGTACGCTGGCTCTTCGAGATAAATGAGCAAGCGGCGACTATGGACGCCTTAAGAACAGCGATCGTCACTCGGGCGGGATTCAACGCGACACAAAAGATGTGGAAAAGCGTATGAGACACAAAGGATGGCTGACATAATAAAACAATAGATGAGAAATCAGACAAGCCTATACCTCCTCCACCTGAACATCCCGAGCGAGCCGCTTCCACGAGGCCCATCCCGGACGCAGTAAACTAAACTGTGACAAAGAGCTCGCCAGGTGGAGTAGAGATGCGACCCTCTGATAGACAAAAGAAAGATCAAAGCTTCCGCATATAACCCAAAAAGCTATATAGTAGCAGCGCAAGCCAAGAAGCTGCAAAGAGCCAGATATGGCTTAGGAGCGGCAAAACAAAAGGCACAGACGGTATTTAGAGGATATGTCAGATTTTTATTGAAACCAAAGAAGATTTTGCTTTATTTTGCTTCAGATATAAATTCAAATCGCTGTTTCTGAAAATCATACCCCAAGATCATTGAGACCGGAAGATTTTTTATGACCATAAACCTAAATTTCGGTGAAAACTCTTCAATTCTAATTTTTAATTCGATTCCCTTTTTGGTTTCTACATTTTCTCCTTTTAGTTACTAATTTTAAATTTGTCGTCAATTTTTTTTTCTAACTATTCTTGAGTTGACAAGCCTATGATAAAAGGTTTCTGAAATTGACGACTTCGTTGTTCCTGAATTTATCAGTGCGTTCACTGCAATTTTGTTATTTGTAATGGTCGTAATTAATCCATCCCCTTTGTTATAATTTACATGATTTTTTGAGAGCACAATATTTTTACCTTTTGAATTATTTGTTTTTTGAAATTTATTATATTTAAAACTGATCTTATAGACGACAGCTATAAATGGTTTTAAATTATTACTTTATTACTAATTTATTACTTAATTTATTACTTAAATTCACTAATTTCGTGGTCCACTTGACCAATTAATATTTTACAATTACTTTGCTTTAGTTTATGTTTATTATTTTCTTCCGTTGTAGATGAATTTGGTGTATTTACTGTTAATTTCTCCGACGCGATTGGTCGGAGGTCTCTCCTTTTTTTTGCTGATTTCCGAAATTAAAATGGTCGGTATTTTATTTTATTAAAATAGTGCGGATCAATCCTGCTTTCGCTCCTATTTATTTGCGGTTGGTAGTTATCAGAATTATAATCTTTTTTAAACCTTGTCTGTTTTCTAGCCATCTCGTAATCGTCAGAGACCAATTATTTTCCTTTACCAAAGTCTTTATTCAATTTATTTATATTTTTGTTTTTTCTGTGATCGTGAAATTTATTAATAGCCTGAGGGGATTCGCGTGTGTCAGTGCAGTGGAAATTTGGACTTTTATTTTTACATCTCCTGTGTTTAAAATCAACATGTCTCTTATTGCAATTGTCCCTTCCACGAGTACTCTGACTATTTCTTCTCCCAAAATCCTGTTCATATTCCTTTCAGCTAAACCTATTTCCTCTGTCGTAATTTTATTGGTAAAAGTCGCCAGCATTGTCTATTGTTAAAATTTCTACCAAAATTATTTTTATATCGCGGTTTTATATTTTCTTTCTCGGTTTCGATCTATCGGTTCGGCAAAGGTTTCTATTAGTTCTCTGACCTACGACATGAATTTTCGGTATCCTTTGTTTTGTTTGTGCTTCCTTGGTTGATAGGTTGAATCTGAGTCACTGTCTGAAGATAAAAAATTAACGTGAAGTAGCCGCTTCAACGCCTTGGTCAATAGGAATTGAATAGGACCGCTCCTTCCATTTCCTTAAGCGCTGACTTACGGAATATATTTTAAATTTGGTACCCAATAAACCCATATATTTAGGATAGAGTCGCTCAATAGTTTTGCACTTTCACTTTGGCGATTCATGTCGAGAGACGTGGTTGTAGAAGTCCTTCAACCTGATGATGAGCTAAAAGGCTCGGAATCCGGATCGGTGAAAAACAACTTACTGTGAGTAGGAACTATCTTTTTAAAAAGGAAAGATCTAACGTTTATATCTTTTCTTGGTGCGGCATTATACAGAAAGAAGCTTACGGATCCGTGGCTATTTTCAGCTAAAATAAAGAGAATTTCCGAAGTTAACGATTTATAATGAGTCAAAAGAGGATACGATGCCCACAAGAAATTAAAAATAAATTCAGAATCATTTAATATTAATGGCGGTAATTTATTTATTCTATATAAGAGAGAATGATGTAGCTTGGATGCCCTGACAAATTTTTCTTGCAATTTTCTAAGTTGCCGCGGGTTTTCTTCTCCTTCCGATCCCGAGCTTACAAATTTAGGAATAAATTGTTCGTCGGGATTAGAATTTGCGTCGGTTGGGCTTTGCGCAGGTTTCATCGCCATTGATGGAGCTAAAGGTATAATTTTGAATTTACCAGTGTTTCGCGCGAGTCTTTTTGCATTCTAACCCTTTTGGAGTTTTAAATTCTACGGTTTGCGGCGTTGAGGCTTCGCGAAAAAGTTCCCGATCCGTAATAATTTTTTTTTTTTCTAGAGATTTTAAAATTCGGGATGCTATTGATGTGACAAAGGTTTGCTTCTGTTTTTAGGAATTCTCTGTTGGATTTGCGGGCTTTCATTTAAGGATAATGAAATTTCCTTTTCTCTTATTTCGATGTATTCATTAGAATAGAAAGGTAAACAACCTGTTTTATCCTCAACGATTTTCGACAACTTTCTTCCGAGTCACACATATTAGCGGAACTATTAATTGTTGTACTATTGTTCAAGCGATTCCTCTGCTCCAGGAAATTCACTGTGTTCAAATTTCTGAATGCACTGCTCGAAGTAGATTAAATCAGTATGGAGTCAAGCTTTTGCCCCGTAAGAGGACCAGAATTGACCAGAACACACAGAGTTGCACGGCTCCCATTTCCTCAAGAACACAGCCATTGGTCTTTAGACGATTGTTCTGGTGTACTTTTTACAGATGGATGTAGATTTGCTCTACGATCTCCAGATGGGCGTGAAAGAGTGTGGAGAAGGCAAATAAAAGTTACGAAGCTTGTAATTTTTCCCAGAACCAACCTTTTCAACGAAGCTCAGTGATGGTGTGGGATTTCAATGGAGAGTCGCCAGCGTTGGTTGATGTTCGTGGAGGGTCTTTGACGGTCACTCGCTATGAAAATGAAATATTGAAACATCACGCGTTGCCTATCCTCGATGAAATCAGCGACAATCCTATTCTAATGCACGATAATGCCCGTCCACATGTCGCTCGCATAGTACGAGCGTACCTCCAACAGCATAACATCAGGGTCTTAACCTGGCCGTTCTTCAGACTTGAAACCTCGAACATTTATGGGATAACCGCAAAAGAACAAGTCCATCATTTTCTGATACACTCCATGATCTTGAAAGGACTCTTCGTGAAGGATGGGCTAATCTCCAGCAAAGAGACATTTCCAGACTGGTAGAAGGTATGCCGAGGCGCCTTCGAGATGTTAATTAAGGCAAGATGAAGAAATACGCGATATTGAACTATTAATTAAAAACCTAAAACAAATTTTATCTGTCCGTCTTTTTTTCATTTTCCTTAGCAATTTACATTTTTCTTAAACTTTTTGAGACCAAGACACAATTATTAAAGAAAAATCAAGTTATATTACAAGAGGGTGAAACTTTTTGTGTTTCAGTATATAAGAATATATTTGCTTAATACAAAATTTGTATTTGTTAATGTCAAATAAATGTAATACAAAATGAAAAAATAAATAGATTGTTTTATATCAAACTTTAGTTTAACATTAAAATCATTCAGACTATATCGAGAAAGATGTCGCTAAACCCTGTATAATTTAGAAAACTGCTAAATAATAAGTATTATATAATCACGTAGACATTGGCGTAGGTTGCGTTTTTTATGTTCGTGTTTTTTGAGNTAGATTTGAAATCTTTGAAGGAGAGGACATCACCAAATCACTCCCCGAGATAAAATGGTCCAAAATCTTGGGGTTTGTGAACAAGTCCAAGAGGTTTATGAAGGACACGTGAGACGACCAAGTCCCGGACCTTTTAGGGATGGGGTATGAGTCTACCCAGTCATTTAACCCCTCGGGTCTTGGTCGCCCACCCTGCATAATATATATATACAACGAGCAAATTGTAAGAAGCAAGGAATCTTTTGTGGAAACGCAACAACTAAATCTAGAGATAGAAATGTCACTTAGCAACGGTTTCTTTGTTATTGTGTTTTTCGTCAAACGTAGAAAATCATAGCCAATGATCCGTGTTAACAAGTGTCTATCGTAGTGCCCGTTCCGACACTCGAGCCCAATGCTGTTTGAGCGGCTGCTGGTTTCCCCGAGCTAAAAGTAGAAAAGAAAATGTCCGAAAATATGTATCGTCCGGGCCAGCCATACCAGTTTTTTGCACAGGAGATGCAAGAAGCCAATTATCATTACAGCATGGTAAGTGCCTTAAAATGTGTTTACCGCTAGTGGCGACTTGACTACATCATTTTACTCGTCGGCACACACAGAAAGAAACGGTTAAAACAATCCAATGCCGGCAAAACTTATTCTTTTTTTTTATAGGATGTATCCTTGGATTCACTCACAGCTCACAGTTTCTTGAGTTATAACTTAATACAACTTAACACGTTATTTGTTATAAAAACACTCGCCCCTACTTTCAGCTAAATAAAAACCGTTCTTATATCTTCAGTGCTTGGATTATTCGGCTTATTGAATAAAAGTCCTGTGAGATTCAATATTTAGCTTGCAAGGTCTACAAGCCCTGCAGATGTCCTGGATGTTGCATACTTTCAGCTGTTTGTTCGTCATGCAGTAAAGTCTCCTGCTGACGTTTGAACTTTATCTATAGATTTCATTTTATTCAGCACGATTCGTGGAAATATTTATTTTCTAATTCTTACAATAGGCCTGTACATGTGAAAATAACGGAATAAATGTTTGTAGAATGAGGTTGTCTTTTTTTTATTCCCCTTCACGAGAAATATATAAGCATTTGTTCTAAATTTTGCCTAGTTAATAAAATGTAAGTCTTGGGTTGTTTAGATTCATTGTTGATTGAGAAAACATTGTTAAGATATTAAAATCACATATTAAAATCAAGCTATTAGCTTCAGTTCAATGGAGATCTAGTGTCTTTGAGTTGATTTTTTTATTTATTGAATAACATCCATTAATTTCGTTTTATCTTTTCCAAGAAGGAAAGAACGCTGCATGAACGGTGTGAAATTTAATTTTAGTGGGATATCGACATTAGGGAAAGTGTACTGTCTGCAAGTAGTTTGATGGATTTAGAAGAGTATATTTCGAAGAAGAGAGTGGTCTGGCCGCTCACGATGGCCTTTCATGCTACATCGTAGATACTAGCATCAACAAATCTGGAAGCTTGTGGACACTTTTTCCATAGTTATATAGGTCTCAAGTCACCGGACAATTTGCAAGATCCAGGGATTACCTCCTGTGACACTCCACAATACGATGTATTGTGAAAACGGGTGGGGGGTGAAAAATTAATTGCTTTTACATTAATTTAACAGTAACTGGGACATTTCAATATAAGCATGGCAGAGGGTAATTTTATAAAATGCTCTATCACCTAATTACATCAATATAGGTGAATGAATCTATTCCGCACCAGTGGAGGAATGAATCATATGTATGCTATATATGCTATTTGGGATCAACTGGAGTGCTCAAATTATAGAAGCATTTCACTCTTTAACAAGCTCCCCCTTGGCCGACAAAAAGATTGGATAATAACCGGTCCCCAATAAACCAGAACTTCTCCCTTCGGTTGATTCTTATCTTTTAGCCTTTTACCTTTTATAGATTTTAAAAGTGCTTATGATAGCATCATACTCTCAAGACTGTACAAGACCACCATGCAAGAAATGAATAAACCATCACAGCTCATTAAATTGGTAAAAATTACAATGATGGATAGAACCATACACACCAAATCCATACAGTTGCTGGCCTATGCGGATGATGTAGACATCAATGCATGCACACTCCCAGAACTAAAGGGTGCTTTCCTTGGTTTGTAGGAAGCAGCCTTAACCATGGCTTTTACCATTAATGAGGAGAAGACCAAACACGTATGTAGGAAGTGGTAATGGCCCACTCAGAGATGGACTGCAGGCGGGCTCTAGCTTCTTCCACAGAATAAATGAATTTATCTATCTTAGCTCCCAAATTAACACCTTTAATAACATCTCTCAAGAGATTAGCAGGAGAATCATAGCTGCCAATAGGCGCTATTTTGGCCTTTCAAAATATATGAAAAACAGCTTAACCTATAGGAATACAAAAATCAATGTTTCCATCCTATGAAATCCTCATCCGCCCGATACTGATGTATGCTTCTCAAAATTGGACCACACACAACCCAAATGAAAGATGTACTCTGTCCAGTGAAGTGAACATCGTAAATGTAGTAAAGTTATCCATATGAGGCTGGGTTGGTCATGTTGTGAAGATGGAGGAGGGGGAAGTGCCAGCAAAGATCAAATGGGTGGGCAACTGGGAATGAGCAAAAAGGTTGGAGGCCTAAAGTTAAGTGGCTTGATCGTGTACACATCAAAGTGAATATTATTCTAGGAATTACAACCGGAAGGCAGCTGCAAATGATAGGAACTTCTGGCATAAACTTATTGAGGAGGCTAGGACCCACAAAGGGTTAAAACAGATAGAAACAGTTCAATGCTGATTTTGAGGATAGGCATCCATGATTGACTAACCAGATGTGATCTCTTCCATTAAAATATCTTCGTTCTTTAAAACATTTACAGTTGAATTTGTTTATTTTTCCCCTTTTAACATATTCATTTCTAAGTGTCACATCCTTTTGTTGCCATTCTTAGCCATTAATTTTTTATTGTGGGATATTTCCAACAAATATTACAATTTATACCATTATGACGTCCATTGAATGTAATAGTTCACACTATTTTTTACATTAATGCATATATCGCACACCCACAAGAAAAGTGACACAACTCAACAAAAGAAAATTTTACAGGAGAGACAAATAGAAGTTTACTTTTTTTTTATTTATGAATTAAGTACATACCACTATGGTTGTTGGCAACAAAACTGCCATGATGCATCAATATTGTCTTTCTTTGTCCAAGACTTAAGTGAAGACACAAAACTTTAAAAATCCAGCTATACTACCCCCCAAAAAGAAACTACCACTTTTTGAGTTGACACTTTTCTTGCATATATTGGCTCTCAGTGATGTAAGTTAGTTTCTTTGCTCTAATGATAACGGTGGTCAATGGATGACTGTAAGGGTATTAATTTCTTTATAATAGAAACAGACAACATGCAAACATAACAAACAAGCATAAATATCCATTACAAAAAACATATTTGTACAATTGATTTAACAATTATTTTTCATAATGTGAAATTAATGTAGGCCCTTATGATGACCACAAATAGGTCAAAAGCTTGGCAGTAACAACTGAATTTGCTGTTTTCTTCAAGACCAGAGTATTTATGAGTGAAAAATTGGCTAATACTTCTAACATTGAAAACTAAAATAATTCTAAAATTAGTACTACTTTGCTCTTACAATGAAGAGAAACATGCAGCATAAGAACTACAAATGCTGTTAGATTCAGTTAAGGACATGCAATCTTATTTTTTCGCATAAAATACAATTGTGGTAATTTGGTATTTACAATATAATTTTCTATAATATTTTTGACTTGCAACTTTGAAGCTGAGCACTCATGCTTACCAGATTTATTAGTGAAATCTGAAGAGCTAGAACTATCACTACTATAAGTCATACTTTTCTTCTCATTGCCTGATGCCAAAGTCCAGCAAGAAGATCTAATATCCATAACACTTTGCCTTAAAGCCAAAGAGGTGGAATTTTTGGAAAAACTGAGGTTTAACAATTATTTAAAAAAATATTATTTTTTAACTATTAACCAAAACACCTAAAAAGATCTTAAAACAAGCAAACAACCAAAGAAAGAAGAGAACAATAAATATTAAACAAAGTTTTTTTTTTTTAGGGTTTAAATCCACAAGACACATTCTTGGGCCGTCATTCGCCACAAAGAGAAGAAAATGTCTATGTAAGAAATGGTTTTAGAACTTTAAAAAAATAACTATGTAAAATTTTTACTGATTATTGTTTATTTGCAAAATAGTAAAGGGAAACATTTGTAGAAAAATAAAAATAAAATGAAAGTGTGTGTGCACATGGTACCAATAAATGCTTTTCAGTATTGTAAAAACAGTTATGTAATTTCAAAATATAACATTACACAAATATTACATGATGCTAGTATATCAGTAAAATTATTTAATAACTAATCATCTAAATAACTATTTTATGTAATTTTCAGGTAATGGCACCATTTGGTTATGCACAGGAAACACGACCAACAACACCAACACCAAATTATGTTCCTTATTCAGGAGTAAGTTTTACTAAGAATTTTTCATTACATTGACACATTATGAGATTTTATTTTTACTTTAGCCTATTCCATTCTTTGGTTTTGAACAGCAGGACTTAGCGCCAGAGAAAAAAACTTGTTCATTAGCTCCACAGAAATATCAAGAGGTACTTGAATATTTACTTATTAAATATAAACACAAAACACACACACACACACACACGTACATATACAAACATACTCTTGTTGGAAAGATGCCAGACCAGAGCATTTCAGGAAAATGGTGGTTGTTGTATGGGAACTCTGGAAGGTAACAAAAAGGTGGACGAGGCAGCTGAGGCTGGGACATGCCAATCTCCGAACTTAACCACCATGATCCGGCCTCCTTGTGGCATCATCGATGGGCTGGATCTTCACAGGATCTCTCATATTAAGACCACTGTGGCTCTCAGAAGATTTGACTCATAGAACAAGGGTCATCCTCATCTGACTAGGGATAGGCCATGCAAGGTTGACACACAGACACTTAATTTTAGGCCAAAACCCACATATGAGTGTGTCCAGCATGTACAGAAGGGTTGTTCATTTTAATGTAGGGGGCTCCTTTTTATAAGTACAAATTTGCACATACATTTACCACTTTATAGAGCTCCTTAGATTCCTTGGCTCTATATAGAGAGCATGTAGGAATGGCATCTGATACGAGAATTTTGCTTGAGCTTAACAACAAATATCTGGATCCTCTGTTTTGATTAAGGAAACAGGGTTGTTTGACTGTATATAACAATTAATAGAAATTTCTTCTTGTGTTTCTTGTTTGTCTTGAGAGTGAATGCATTTATTAATGTGAATGTGTAGTGTGAGAGGGCCTCTGGCAGAATATTGAGCATCCCATTGACCGTCAATTAGGTCACTTGAATAAGTGCAAAGGGTGGTGGAGGAATATAAAGTACTCCACCACCTTAACTGAGTGAATATTATGTAAATAGGAAAGAATGTATTTCAGAGTGGGAATGGCCCCTGTAGCACTTCTCCGGTGGCTGGACGGTTAAGACCCAGGTCTGACCCCAGACAGCCAACATCGAGATGAGTGTTTTTCAAGACCTGATTGTAATTAATTTTAAATTACAAAACCTGCCATTGCTGTTGAACTGCCATTAGTAATAGGCCCAACTCTGTACACTCATGTATGTATGTACATGCAGTCAGTAATCAGTAATACTTGGATCAAACAACCTTAGGCAAAAGTACTTATATTTGAAATGTGAATAAAATACAAGTCTAAATATACCAGTATTCATGGTTGATGACATTACGATATGTTCTGTTATGTTATTTTTCAGTTACTGCCTGCATTTGGCACGGAGGAAGATCCATTAGGAGATAAGTACAGAGCTGTAAGTACATGGCATGTTAAATATTTTATTTTAGTTAAGTTACTACTACAAGTATGAGAATTTTATAAAGACAGCACACTATTTAAATCATTAAACTTACAAGAATTTTTTTCAGCTTTTTACGTTTAATTTAAAAAACATACATTCTGTGCTTTAATAGTAAATCTAAAAATATTAGATTGTTGCTGGTTCATGCATGTAATATTGATCATTGTTAGTGTGCTCTAAGGCTGGACTTACTTTTTATGCAAAGCCAAAATTAAAAAGTCCAAGTAGATCAAATATATTTAATCAAAACAGCCAAACTTTAGTCTGATATATTTTGATATCTGGAATATCTCTCAATATATTTATACTATGATAATTTTTTGTTAATATTTCTTGTCTTACAATATATTTATTATTCATCATTTGTAGAATAAATTAAAGAGGAAGTACACAAATAATTCAAGAAGTAGGAGCAGAGATAAAGCTGAAATACATAGCCCACATGTGAAAGTATGTCTGATTTTAATTTTCATTAGCTTTTACTCTAACTTGGAAATAGCATGTACAGATGATACAAATGTCATACTGGCAAAAAATAAATTGTCTTGTAATCAATGTACCTTTATTTTCTTTCCTTTTTAACATTTCATGACAGTGCTGAGAATTAATGTAGACAAAATTATTTGAGAAACAATTTGTAAGTGAAAGGCATTTGTGTCAGATTGTATTAATTAGTTGTATTAATCATAAATTAAAGTTACCAATGTTTCTTGGTGAGTTAAGATTTCTTGAGGCATTCTATATTAACATTTAGTTGTACCTTTTGTAGGACCGGGCTATGGAAAAGAACAACGATGTATCATATTCGAGAGGCCACAGCAGAAATAGAGAGCCAAAACAAAAGTTTTCAGATGAAGTATGTATTTTTGCAGTTATTTTGGCTATTAGTGGTAGATCAATTTATTGGTACTTAATTATTTTAATTCTTGTTAAGCTTTACTTTTTTAGTGAGCTGAATTATGAAAATTAAGTTGAAAATAACACACTTGTAATATTAAATTTTCTTCTTAACTTTCTTTCCATAATTTAATATTCTATATAAGTGGTACATATATTAATTTGCAGTAATATTATAGAATGTTTAAAAATTATTGTTTTTAAATTAATTCTATGAGAATAGATTGGATGTATTTGGGCTGATAGCATATTGATGGAACCATATAGTAATTTCAAAAGGGGCTTAATGACTTTTGTTATTTGGTGCATGAAAAATGTGCATTTTTTTATAACATTCTTTATTTTCCTTTTATTCAAAAATCAGATAGTACAATATGACATGCATAACAATCTGTCTGTCAGGAGTTAACTAAGAATAGCTAATAAAAGAGAAAAGCATAAATAAAATAAAAAATACTAATTAATACTACCTATCCTAATGAATAGTTACATCTGAGTAATGGCACAATTATAACATTTAAATGAATATAAACAGAAATTAACAATCCTTAGCCAGGGGGTTAATAAAACATAACTTTTAAAAATATTTTTTCTTTTTCCTTGAAAAGTTATCACCAATTGAACTGTTAAATCAATTACCAAGCATCGCATGCGTAGCATGCAAGGGATTTGCAATTTTTTTCGTTCGGAATCTGGATAAATGAAACACGAGAAAGGCCGGATACACCTATTTGCAAAAGACGACATTCTGATAAAATTGAGCACTCAGCCACAAAGTGTAAAATACATTCTTTTACCCTTGAGTTGCATAAAGAACACAGTTTGTTAACATTAGATTTCCAGGGTACAAAGTTTAGGATTATTTTTCAATACATTATTATTTGTGCTGAGTGGGAGGAATAATTTTATTTAAGTTGTCACAAATAAATAATTGTTTGACCATTAGTTTTTCTAAGCATTTTAAAAAGATTGACAGAATAATTAATTTGAGGGCCTTGGAGCCTTTCTTGAAGATAGGAATAACAGTATCAGTCTTTCATTTTAGGGGAAAATAAGAATTATTGTCACTACTTCAAAATGTTTCTATATCTGCTTCCCCACGTGTAATAATTTTAACAATAATTCTATTAACTACACTTATACACAATGACAATCCACCCACTTCAATCAACTTTATTAAGGACTGGGTATCTTATTTGACTAACAACTAATGTTTAAAAACCTTATTTTAAAGCTAAGCTAAAGCTGTAAATTTTCTGGGATTTATAATTTCACACATTTTTCTAGATTTTCAGAATATTCAGATGTTAAAATTGATATTTGTATTCTTAGTCGGACCCATCCTTTTAAGTATTAGTAGTTCTTTTAGTATTAAATATATACACACTTGGAACCAGATGTTAAAAAATTAAACATTTCTCCATAAATTAATAAATAATCAGATAAACTGTCCAGAACTTTTACAGTTAATTAATTTTGTCATTCCATTGCATAACACCAGGAACCCTCAAACTTTCAACATAGCCTTCTGTACGAAAAATTATACTTTTCATTCTCCAATCAATACAGTTCAAAGACTAGCCAACTCCATTGACAGAAAAAAAAACTTGAAGTTCCACTTCAAATTTATACATATTTAGCTATAATATCAGTTATATAGTTTACGTATTCTATGTCTAGTCCTTTTTATTTACCTGTTGTGATATAATTTTAAGTTCCTGTAGATACATTTTTTATATTTTTCTTTCTCTTTAAATCCACTTATATTTGTCTTTTCTTATATTTATCCACTTACTATTTATTTTTACATTGTGTTAACCTTGTTTTTGTCGTGATGTTTTGCTTCCAATCCTGTGTTTGTAATAAATAAATAAAAATGAAAGAGTTATTACCTACTAGTGACGGTCTAATTTTGTTCCTGCTCCCTTTTTACATTACACCAAGAAATCATGTGGCCAATTTGGATCTTCTTGTGGGATTATTTGTAAGAGTGGAGCATGCAAATGGGACTATGGGTGGAAAGGGTGGGGTGCAATTTTAAGCATCTGGTTCATGCCAGGTCATGGACAAAAGGAATGTTGAGTTTAAAATCTTAAAATCAATATTTTATATCAATCAAGCTTAAAATCAATATTTTGCATGGAAAGTGAGATTGTGTTTGTAGAAATGAACTTTTTTTGGAGGATCTCGGATTGTTGGGCCTGGATTCTATAAATATTGGAGCACTTAGATCAACACCAAAGTTCTAGTCTGTAAGTCCATGCAGGTTTATTACAGTATTTTATAAGGGTCATGGGTTAGACCAGAACCGGTCGAATAGTCTGGTGAGTAGTAGTGTTGTTTTAATTCAATTCTTTTTAGGCTTGTGTGGGGATTCGATGTCAATTACCAGTCCAGAAATAGTCAAAAGTGTTGTACATGTAGTGTGATTTGTTGAAATGTAAAAGTTACATATTTACTTTTTGTCTCATTTATCTTTGCTTTCCACCTTTTATACCACTGTTCTAGCAGGGAAATGTGGGTTTGAAGCTTTCTGTGTGGCAAAATCGGAATAAGCAGGAAGCATAGCTGTATCATCAGCACCTATAAATGTAGGTGTTGGAGGATTTGCAGAGAAATCATGTATGTAAATTGAGTAGAGGATAGAATCTAAAATACTAATTTGGGGGACACCAGAGTGAACTGAAAAGATGGGGGAAAGTGCTTTAGCCTCACAAACCTGAAAAAAAGAAAATTATACTAAAAATAGCTATCAATTTGTCAATTAAATAATGTGCTAAAAAAATACAAATTTAAAAAAGAAGTTTGGCTTTTAAAGTTTTAATCTAATAATCACATCTAATTACAATATTGGTAGAAATGTTACCTGAGAGGTCACAGCAGAAATGAATCACCAATGTTCAGTTGAAGATTATATACATCATTATATACATTGGTATATAATTTTGAAGTTAATAGTATATTTAAAAAGTAATGTTTTTACATAATTATAAGTCTTTTTAAAAAATATATTGCAGGTGATTTTACAATTTTTTAGCATATTCAAAATTTGTAATACATGCCAGTGATGTATTGGAAACCTCTACTATATGTATATTTTTAAACCAATACTTTTTATCAATACAGACAAAATTACAATGCGTTTTATTATTATTTCTATGTATAATAATGTTGCCAGTTAAAATATTCATATATTCTCTAATTTTATTTGGCAATATATATGTAATACTTTTCAGGCAATACATACAAACAGAGCCCTGAACAACTACTACAACTACAACATGTACAACAGCACTAACAAATATAACAACTACAACAGCAGCTACAACAGCACCTACAGTAACAGCAACAACAACTACAGCAGCAGTAACAATGGCAACAACAACAAGAAATGTTACCTGAAAGGTCACAGCAGAAATGAATCACCAAAGTTGAACTGTTCAGTTGAAGTATGTATTTTGTTACATTGATGTATAATTTTATAAGTTAATAGTATATTTAAAAAGTAGTGTTTGACAGTTATACTATTTTATACAATTTTTAATAATGGCAATGTTCTGTCCAGCTATATTTATAATAAATATGCACTAAAGGTTAATCTTTCAATTTTTAGATACATTATGTATTTCACAACTTTTGCAAATTACTCAATTTGTTTTAAAAACTTGTCAGTATAACCAGTTTTTTCCAAATTCGTTGTTTCACCCCTCTCTATTCTTTTTTGCTTCCAATATTATTTTAACCACTAGATAGACATAAATGAAAGCTGTTTCTTACAGCTATTGTTGAGTGATTCTTTCATATCGCCGCACATCTCCCTAAAAGTTATCAGGTGCATTAGATTTGTTTTTTCAGTGGAACTTTAATAATTTTGAACAATAATCGTTTATTCACACTATTGGCTACCAGTGTGTGTACAAAGAAATTAGTTCGTGTTTGTGAACAAATTAAGACTCACACCTTAGCCTGCACACCTTGCAATACAGACACCAAAGGAAATAAAGGTAATTGTTTCATTATTTATTATAATGTTTTCTTCTTTATAGTTTATTCATTAAATTTATACTTAAATCATTTGATGTTTACTTAAGTTTTCATCTAACATTTTTTATAGTATATTATTTGCTTTTTGGCATTAACCCTATTATTATTAATTAACAAGTTCAATTTAGAACATATAGACAATGTATACCATGTTTTAGGTTTCAAATATTAAGATTTAATAACAATAATTGCAGATGCTTTTATTTTTGTCTGATAGTGTCAGGAAAAGCTTTTTATTACGTTATTAATTCAAACCCATTGCATGATTTTAGTAAGCTCATGTGACAACTAGAGACTGGATTTATAATTCTCTTTTTTTGTATCTTGTATGACACTTGCTCACACTTTATATCCTTGTAATTAAAAATTTTACTTTTAAAATTGTGCAAGGAAGCATTGTTTATAATACTGAAATAAAGGTATCAGATATGAAGCTTTGTAGGTGAAAAAAACCACTTCTTTTTCTTCCGTCGAGCTTTCGGCTATATTTAACACCTTCCTCAGGACACTATTTCAATATAGTCAATGTTATGCTACAATATACATATATAAATTATAATGATAGCCGAAAGCTCGACAGAAGAAAAAGAAGTGGTTTTTTTCACCTACAAGGCCCATCCCTGATCGCTTTATTTCAAAATTTGAAGGCCGATATTACACTCAACTATATTGTTTATAATTTTTTTTGCCCAATTTTAAACTCCAGCTGAGAGAGTTGCACCATGATTTTTATATAAATTACCAGAAGGAAGGGTAAACATTGCACAGGCAAAATATAAAACTGCATAATTATAAGATCAATAGGAATCCAGACCTTTTTTTACAAATAGAAAGAAAAAAGTTAATAACAGATTTAAAAAGCAGAAGTCTTTACACACCAACATGGACAGATTTAGATCTACAGTCCAAACAAATGAAAATATAGTATCAAAACTGGAAAATTATGAAATCAGGGTTAGTATATATGTATCTTACACGTATGACTAATGCTGCCTGCATAAAAACAGATAATTGTTTTTAAATCAGCTGTACGAGTAGTATTGATTTATTTCTTGTTGATTTTGTTATTTCTTGTTGAACAATTTTTTTTTTCATGTTTTCCACTTCCTGTTTTGACAGTGGTCAAATGCTCCATATACGCTCCTGTAAGAGGGTTTTGCAGACTCCCCCCTCCTTTGAAATTGTAAAACATGGATATCTCTCATAAAATAACACACACACGCACTGACACAAGCACAGTAACTCTATGTACACAATAGGGCAAAATCCCCAGGCCAGGAAGTGAGCAGTGAGGGCTGTGCCAACCCACCCTCAGGTGGCAGCTCCACCAGCTGGCTAGGCCACACTCCCCTTAGCCGAATTAACCCTGTTACAAATAAAATAATAAAGGCCATAGAACCAGAAGGTCAGATGTTCTGAGTGTGCGAAGGGAGCACATTCCAAAGATTTGGAGGGCAACATTCCTCCAACTTATCAAGTGCAGTGGGGAGCACACTGCCTGCCCTAACATATGCCAAGGGAAGGCCTCAACCAAACCTACAGAAAACAAATACAGTAAAAAGTGATGAAATCCTGAGGAACAAGGAACTCCTGAGTGCCTACCCCACCAATAATGTTGGGCGATTTTAGTGCCCACAACAACTGGTGGTGTTCACAGCAAATGGACGCTAGGGGCAGAGAAATAAGGGACCTAATTGGAGAATCAGGACTGGTCCCCCTGAACAATGGCGCTGCTACATATATTGATATAAGCACTGGAACATTTAGCGCAATTGACCTGTTGATAGTCTCGCCCTCCTTGGCATCAATGGAGTGGGAACCCCCACTTGAGTGACCATATTCCAATATTCCTGAGGACTATTGTTGTGAAGCAGATGTACCATGTTCTGGCTAGGTAGGCGTTGAAGCAATTGCATGCAGTCTGACTTTGAGGGTGGAGAGAGAGAGAGAGAGAGAGAGGTGTATAACCACCTGCTGACAATTAGAGAATTGGAGGCTGCTTGGGGAGCACCAGGAATATAAATAACTCTGGGTGTGACGGTATTCCACACAAAATACTTCGAAACCTTCCCCAGGGTGCGAAGCATAGCCTGTTGGAATTCTTCAAGAAGTCAACAACATATGGGATATGGGTCCCAGCTGGCCATTCCTGCCCTTAAGGTGGGCAAGAACTTGAATCTGGCCATGAGTTACAGGCTGATCTCCCCGACAACCTGCGCAAGTAAACTCCTGGAATCCATGATAAACAGCCATTTGCTTCAGAGAAAAGGGTTTTACAGCCAATACAGGCAGGATTCTGTAGGCATTATTCCACAGTCGATCATGTTTGACTTCTTGAGAGTGATATTTAGAATACTTTTCTGAGTAGAGAGCATACTCTGACTATGTTATTTGACTTTGAGAAACCGTATGATATGACATGGATATATACAATACTTTGGGAATGTAGAGAAGTCAGAGTTAGAGGCAAATTACCCCGTTTTCATGAGGCTCTCTTGAGGAACCGACAATTATGTGTCAGATTGGGGTCCGTGCTCTCCAGAGACTTTGCTTAAGAGAATGGAATCCCTCAGGGTTAAGTAATAAATGTTATGCTTTTCTCAATCGCAGTGAATGTCTTGCTGATGGTGTCCCCCGAACAATCAAATGATTACTGTACGTCGACGACCTCTGTTTTTTTCCTGTCGGGGAAAGACCTAGCATGGGTCAGAGGGGTGATGCAGTCAGCGATAAGCATTGTGGCTGGAAGAGATGAGGAACCTGGATTTGCCTTCTCTGCATCGAAAATCATATGTGTCTACTTTTGCAGGCTGAGGAGGGCCCACAGCCTTCCTCGCAGCTCTGCCTGAGGGGTGCTGTGATAAGGTATGTGGAGTTGGTTCCTTGGCCTCACATTTGATCAACAGCTTAGATGGCAGCCACACATTGATGCCATCGAGGTGAAGAGAAGGAAAGTAATAGCATTATTAAAGTTCATCTCAGTAACTTCAGGTGGGGAACGGACAAAGAGACCCTCCTGAAAATATTTAACTCGCTGCTGTGCTTGACCTTGTTTTATGATTGCATGGCCTACTCTTCATGCTGAGAAATGCGCCTACAGAGACTTGATAGGCTGTACTATCACCGTCTTTGAGATTACAAGAACTAATATGATCAACTTGGCACATGTCTGTAAGTATGATTTGAGCCTATATAAATCCAAATCTTTCCACACGTCGTGATAAAGCTGAAACAGTACATTGAAAACATACACACTCGTATTAGTATATACCTAATTTAAGTTTGGTAGTCTCGGGTACTCATATTCCACTACCATCATCGACCGTGCTAACTTTCATACAATACCTTTCACACTGTATATATATATATGGTCAAGTCACCGGGGTATTCGATATTATGGTGTCTCGCCCCCAATCACCCTACAAGCAAGTAATAAATAATCTACTTTGGTGGGATACTCTATAAACTACCATAAACCTCACATACTCAAAACAATCAAGCTAATAAATACATTCTTTCAATAAGGGATAACCACACATCAAAGACACTACAATTGCACATGTTATGTGTGTACAAATTGTGTGGAAAAAAATAGTGGTGTGGGATGCCAATTGACATGCTTACTTTGTGTGGCAATTGTAAAATAAGAAAATAGATTTGGAATATAAATGGTATAAATATCTGTAATCAAAGGTCAAATATATACAAAAAGAATTTTTCTTTTTTTTTATAGTGATGATAGTACCTTACATTACTGTTAAAAATGGAAGAATATATGACAACAATATATATTATTGGGTATAAGTGTTATAATTATATTACTCATGAACTTTATGGTCACAACAAAATATAAAAGATTTCATAATATAAAAGAATCATTTAGTAATATGTAATATAATAATAATAAGTTTTTAATTTAATGAATTAATTAAACGATTTTTCCATTTCAGGATCTATCAGAAGATAAAAATTGGCAGAAAAAAAAGAAGGTCCCTTCAAGAAGATATAAGAAGATATATAAGTTATTTTAATAACACCAGACTATATATTTAATTGTAACTACCATTAAACAATTGAAATTGATAGTTCGATGGCGGGATGAAACAAAAATAAAAAACTCTAGAGGTTCAAACTTTATTTCACTTTTTTTAATGTGCAAATGCTTTACACAGCGTTCAAAGACGGAATTGAACAGAATGTCTCTTCAAGTCAAAAATCGTTTGTTATGAAAATCAGTCTTACCACTTAAATCGTCATTACATACTCCCCCTCTGGACCTTGCTATGGTACCTCAGCGAGGTCCAACCACAGTGATAATCCATCAGCTTCTTCAATCTTCCCCTATTCCCTTTATCTATCTAATGGAGAGACAGGAGCTTCCATGTTCATAGAATGGTAGGAATCCAGGTCAGAGGCATGAAAGTGTCTGACAACTTCAGAACCTCCACTCTTGGTGTTGAATGTTGAGAGTTTATAATTTGTTGATGAGACAACTCTGGAATCAATGTAAGGGCCATCCCTCTTGGTGGCTAACTTGCTCATGAAGCCCATATTTTGAGATCTGAGGACATTTGTCTTCAGTAAAACCCTGTCACCAATCTTAAAATTTACATTCCTCCTGTTTTTATCTGTTTACAATCTTTCCTATAGTCCTGTCATTGAGCAGCATACCCAGTGGGGCCTCCTCCTGGTTTAAAGCATCTGAAAAGGTTCCAAGAAGTTCAGCAAAGGGAGAACTTGAATAGCTCAATGTACAAACGAACATTAAATTTATTTATAAACTCAAAACAAATTTGGGAGTTTTCTTAAAAAGACCACTGATTTCTATTATAGTATAATATATTATTCTATTCTATATAATAGTTATATTAAAACGATATTCGTCTTTATTAGGTAATCAACCACAAGTAAAGTTTGGTTGTTATTTAAGTAAGGAAGAATTTTGAAAGTCAGATTGACTACTTTCCGTTTAAAGATAACATCTATTATGATTCATAATACATCTTCCTCTTTTATGGCTCCATCTGGGTGAGAAATCTGAATCTTTGCTAGGGAAAAACTATGTCCATTGTCTTTCAAAACTTTAGAGTGATGCACAAGGATTGCTTCCCTGCACTCCAGAGTCTGCAAAACCTACCCCATTAATATTGTTTACAGTTATCGTCAAAAAAGGTCTAGATTAAAAAAGTAATCGAAGCCCAGAGGAATCGACTGTAAATTTTCATTAGAAATTTGGAAAAACTCTACAGAACTTGTTTCCAATTGTTTGGCCTTTGATTTGGTGCAAGTTGGACACTTGGCTTGAGTAAACCCTGGGACACACAACCACAGCAAGTGACCTTGCCTGTAAAAATAGAGATGGTTTAGTCGGGGGTGTTTCTAGATCTTTTTCTGTTCTGAGTTTTTGCTTTTCACTAAGTCTTTTAAAATCTTCTCTCAGATGACTGAAGTTTTTGCAATAAACACAGCGAGGGCATAACTTCTTTTTGAAGACCTTTTCATTCACTTTTTCAGGAGTGCATTGTATAATTTCTTTAATTGCTGCAAAGTACTCTCTTCCAAAATTTCTGGTTGATCAATCTGTAAATAATATCTAGCTGGGCTTCAGCATCTAGTTCATAAGGTAATTTGGAATAAGTGCTCGGAGAGGAGAAAGAAAAAGCTCAATCGACTCATTTGTCACTTGTTCACAAGAGAAAATTCCATGATAGATAGCATGTGGAGGTAGAGCCGTTGAGAAAGTCTCCTTTAACAAATTGAGTGTAATTCGCCAACTGGTGTACATTTTCTTTACTCCTTGCCACGTAGCTGCTTTACCCTCCAATAGCATGCACAAATCTCAAAGAGTGTTTTCATCTGAAACATTGACACAGTGTTTATATATCTCAATATTGACTATAAAGGTGTAAGTTTCTACGTCAAAATGGGCAGAGCATTTTACAAAATTGCCTGAAGAATCGACTCGCTACTGTTAGGCCTTAGGGGAATTAAACAAAAGTTGTTCATCCATAAGGATTACGTTTTCAGGCAATTGAGCTCTAACGACAAGAGTTGATGTCTCATCTGTGGGGTTTGATTTGATGCTGTCATTTTTTGCAGATTCTCCCAACTTAAAGAAAATGTAAGAAATTTAGATTGAAAAATCCATTGTTTGCCCACATAAAATAAATAAAACTATTTTTATTTAGTATGTTTTTTATTGTAATTAATTTTTGTAAATTAGTAATTAAGTTTGTAATCTTTCTTGATGCTCTGTTTTGCAATTTTTTTTTCAATGCACCCTTATTATTAATCAGTCAATGTGACATAAAATACTTAATGCTGTTTAATATTTTGTTTAATTTATATTTCCAAAATTTTTAACTATTCAAAAATTTCCATCGTGTTATATTTTAGGAGGGCAGAACATTGCTGTGTTCTAATAATAATAATAGTTATAATTTAATATTAATATGCTTAGTTATTATGTGTGTATAAAATTGTGTACATTCATTATGATGCACCATTGATTTCAATATTTTATAATATTTTTCCTGAATATTGCGTATAATATTCAGCTGAATTTTGTACAAATAATATAAAATCTAAAGATAATTTTGACATTTTATTAGTATCGTGCAAGTAAATAGATAATGAATTGATGAATCCTTCAAGGCAAGTATTTTCATTAAACTTAATAAAAATGGGTAGACCAGACAATGTTACAGTTATGAGTACGGCTACATCTGAAAGCAGTAACATTTCTAATTTTTGTCTATTCTACCTGGCAAAATAATAAAAGGAAGCTTTTCATAATTTTTAAAAAGATATTGATTTCACATAAAAAACTTAAGATTTTAATTTTTTTTTAAAAATAAAATAATGTAATGTATTTTAACAATTATACTTTAGAAAGGGGGAGTTTTCAAAAGTGGGAAATTATTACTAAGCACAAAGTGAGAACAACAAAAGTATAATTAAACACTATTCCCAAGTAGGAAAAACATTGAATGTTAAAAAAAAGAATTTACAATGCAAGTTTTACATTTATCAGCAGTTTTATCATCCGTGATCATCATGTACATTTTGCTATTATCCATTCAGATTTCATCATCTTCAGTCTAGTTGTGATTACAACCCATTCCTAGCCAAGTTTCCTTCAAGAAACTACATATTCTTAAGTTAGTTCCTAATATGCTGATATGAGAAAATACCAGAAAAAATGGTAAAGATAAAAAACATCAAAAATAATTAAATAATTATTCATAATGTAATAAGATGGTTCAAACGTATTAAAGAATACTTCTTTTCTTTATAAATTAATTCATTAAATTACACCAATAAAAAACTATTCTTTCAGGAAATCGTGGGTAATAGAAAAATCACTGGTCAAAATAATTCCGGGAGTGGAAGTAGAAGTGCAAGTGAAAGTAGAAGTAAGAACAAAAGCCAAAGCCCACAATATGATCGTGTAAGCCAGTGATGACAAATGATAAAATAATTGTTGACTATATGTCACTCATTCATCAAATTAATTAGGTTTCACAGAAAGAGTTAAAACAAAAAAAGACTGTGCATTTAGTAGATAAGAGCACATCAAGCCATGATCAGAGCCCAAATAAAGTAAGTATACACAATTAGATGTTTAAAATATATTCTTTTTCATTACCATTTTAACATTGGTGGTCTGATATTAATTACATCAAGATAATTTCAAAGTTGCAGAGAAAAAGGGAGAAGCAAAAGATGTCTTCTGAAAGTGGAGTAATGAAGAATTCGATCCAGCAGCCAATAGAAAACAAAAATAGAAATGTAGGGAAGATTTTTTTAGTCAGTACAAGCTTTTTTACTATATAATTATTGTACAGTTACTTTTAACAACAATAAAAAATAAATTGTGCTTGAGCACAGCAGAGAGTATCTTGGTTTCCTGTTCTGATTTTTAAAGGAAACAGGGCTTTTTTACTGTATATAGCAATTAATAGATATCTCCTCTTGTGTTTCTTTGTATGTTGAGAAAGAATGTATTTATTATCATCAATGTATACTGTGAGAGGGCCGAAGGAAGAATATTGATTACCCCCATCCACCCTCAATTAGATTAGTTTTATAATAGGTTTAAAGGATGAAGGACTAATAACATGAAGTACTCCACCATCTTAATTGGCTGATTGATATGTAAATAAGAAAGAATATATTTAAGAGTGAGTGAGAGTGTGAGTTGGTTTACTGCTGAAATGACCTAACTGTTGCGAGCCCCTGGAGCACACCCTCAGTGGCTGGTTGGATAAGACCTGGACTGCCAACAACCTGTGTGGGTAGTTCTCAGGGCCTTGCCGGTAATTTATTGTAAATTATAAAACCTGGAATTTTCCGGTGGACTGCGAGAAATTATAGGCTCAATTCAGTACACATTTGTTTGTATATATATATATATCCATGTGCAGAATTGATCTTATATAAAAAAGACATTATTAAAAAGCAAAATTGTTGATTCTGAAAATCAAAATTATTTTGCATTTCAATAGTAAATATAAAATTTGTCTTGCAGATAATGTCGGATTGTAAATTTTGTATTATACTCAATAAAAAAATAAATAAACAATATATAGATATAGATATATACGTTATAGTCATCTATAAGTGAGTTCTCCTCACCATTGTCACTTTATTTCAAATTCTAAGTTCTTATAAATTGCAGGAAATGAATGGAAACCAAAACACGCCTTCTGAGAGTAAGGCTGCAAATACAAGCACACAGTCAATAGCGAACAAAAGAGGAAATGTAATAAATTTTTCCTTACTCAGTAATTAATTTTTTCTATAAAATGACACTTATTTACGGCTCATTGTGATAATAATTAAATTATTATATATTTTAAAACTAAAAATTTGGTAGAAATAAATTTAAAAACAATCACGCATACATTTTTATTTTGTAGGAGATGCATACTAGAACACAAACGCCATTTTATGACTATTCGACCAAGATGAAGCCTCCTTGGCAACCTGATAAAGTATGATTAAACAAGAAGTTTTAAAGTATATTTTTATTACTTGTTTTCTGTAAAATGTGCTCAGTTTTAAATTGATTAATTGTAGGTCATAATTGACATGCAAAAAAATTCTAGATACGATCAATCAAGAAATGAACATAAGACCCTACCGAGAATACCGGTGCCTTTGCTTGATGTATGTATTGGGTCTTTTATTCTTGTACTTCATTCTTGCAGTTATAGAAGTGAAGTTGAATTGATTTAATTTCACAGGAAGGATTTGATGCACATTCAGAACTACAACCGTGGCCTTCACAAAAACCAAAGGAAGTACAAAAATTTATTCCTCCTAATCTGATGAAGAAGGTATTTGTGCATGTATTTTTCATTTATTTATCTATTTTCCTTTTATTTATTCACAATAATTAAATAGAGAAGCCGATGTCATTTAATTTGATCCACACAGTCCACTAGTACAAACACTATTAGAGAAGAAATGTGTGCACATATAATAAATATCACATAATAAATATCAAAACGTTAAGAACAACCACACTGAAAGATGTTTATTTAGAAAAGAACAATTTAATTATTGTCTGTTTATAAACAAATTAAATGAACTTTCAAAAGATTGGTATTAAAAAACCAGTGTACATTTTTAAAAGACTTGGTGAATAGGATTGCACTAACTTTACTACACTAACTATACTTGACTATTTTGGTCAATTTTATTGATTTTAATTTTAAGATGCGTGGACAAAGGAAACAAGCTGATACAAATCTGAAGCAAACTGAGCCGAAAGGGGTAAATATATTGTGCACGTATATATATGAATGTATGTGTGTTGTGTTTGTGTGTGTTTTTGTTCCTCAAGCACTGCAGCCTTCTGGCTTGTACTTTCCTAGTTCCTTACTTCAGAGCAGTCGACTAGATCTTTCTCCTAGGAAGTTCTAGGTCATTGACTATTGTTGCTACAGTTCCATTCCCTAGGTTTTTTTGTATTCCAGGTTTTGGGCTGTTGCTTCACAAGCCATGATGATGTTGGCTGTTTCTTCCTCCCCATTGCGTAACCTACAAATGGGGGGGGGGGTCATCATTGAATATACCCATGTTGTGAGGATGTTTTCTCAGATGCCAGTGACCTTTAACAGTTCTATCACTCTGAGTTTAGCCCTCTCTTACTGTAGAAGTGAGCATGTCTTGGAGAGGGTTGTTTTAGCATAAGTTTACTGTATCTAGCGCCTTGAGAGCTTATCCTCATCTTATTTTGCCTTATCTGGATCCATTCTGTGATGGAGGATTCTGTATTTGTTTTTGTTATCCAAAGAATAGGTTCCGAGTCTTGCAGATCCTCCTCTGACCAGTGTATCTGCCTTTCATAACCCAAAATTCCTTGTGTCTTGGTACCGAAGATATCATCCGGTTTTTATGTTTTCCCAGGTTTTGGAGATTTTGGATGCATTCACGTACTAGTTTTGATCAGATTTTTTTACATCATAATGTTTTCAATAACTTTTTTTTTAAATTTAATTTAAGGCTATTTTGTCTTTGTAATAAATTCATTCCAGAATCCTGGGCCGCATGTGGATCCTTGTGACCTGTTTTTGTTCTCTCTTTACTACTTTAATCGTTTAGGCACTCAAGGTGGAAATCCTCCTATAAAAGTAATTACCGGCCAGCTGATGATTTTTAGGGTGTTTCTTATTTTTTAGTTGGAAAAGTATGGCAGGTCACCATGTCGCATCAAATGCTCAATCAAAATTTTTTTGACACTTTTTTTCCAAATGTTTCCTGATGTTATCACTTGTCATTTGCTGGGTATCTCCTGTATTTTTTGCAGGGTGAAACTATATTGATTGTCTGACAGTTGATTTGTATTTCTTAGATTGTATTCTGTTTATCAACAACTTCTCCAGGATTTTCCTAAACCTAGGTAAGAGACTAATGAGTCTATATTTATTCTATATTTGGATGTGTCGATACAGTGTTGTTTCCCTGGGTTTATTAAGAGTGTTAATTTACATTTCGTCCACAACATAGGAAAAATACCCTCCATTTAGACACTCATTATACATTGTCAATCCGAAGTGTTATGCAATCATCGATCTTTTTTATTACTTCTTTTGTCAATCCATCATAACCAGGTGCTTTACCATTGTTGAATAGCGGGTGATTTCTTCTTTTAGAATGCACTTGTTGTATTGTTGAATTATTTCTTCAATAGTTTCTTTTAGGTTTGATGTAATGTATATATGTGTTTGTATTGAAAAAATATTCCATATGTATTCATTATTTGTGTGACTTTCATTTAATAAATATTTATTTGTAAGGTTTATGATGGTCCAAATTGGACGTATGAAGTGATCCAACTTGCCAAGCCTGCAGGTGTAAGTCTTAAAATAAAAATAAAATCCACTATACTATCTTGTTATTTGTATATTACTTTGAACATAACTGTTACTTAACTATTTTAACTTGTTGATGTAATAATCTATCGTTTTCTGATATTATATATTTTTAAGATATATGAAAAATCAACTAAATGGTCTTACAATAGACCATCAGATGTACATCTAACAGTAGTAAGTATTATCAATTATCTCCTTTTTTATAAAATAAAAACTTGTTGATATTTGTGCTTAAATTGCTTTTTATGTCTCAATTATTTTTATGCAGAATATAATGCTAATTGACATTAACTTTTTTAATGTTAGTTTATTGTAATATTTTATGCTAAATAAATTTTAAACGAACTATTTTTTTAAAGGGCAATATGAGTATGGCTACTTCAACTACTGATATGACAAACTCCCAAGTAAGTGTCCTTTATTTATTGTTTCCTCCCTACTCCTAGAACAAAATATACAGATATAGTAATCCATATACACATTTAGTAGTCATAATTGACTGTATTAATTATTTTAATTAATTATACTTTTAATCTAAGGTCTTGGTTGTGATGAAAAAACAAGTGTCCCACTGGTGATAATTGCTTTTTCATCTCAACCAAGACCTTAGATTAAAAGTATGTAGATATAATTGAGAAAATGTTATTTTTACTCGTTAGATTGTCTTATTTAGAATTTATAAAAAGAAACAAAACATCAATTGATTGTCTATCTGCATGTTTAGTTTATATAATACGCATACAAGTACCTAAGTGCTACGCAATGGACTTTATTGCTAAATGTGGTTTCCAATCAAAAGTGACCTTTGTGAAACTTGTGGGACATCAGAGTATCTCGAGTATCTCATTAGGAATTACACCAAACATGTAAATTAGAGAAAGACACCATAGGACACAGTCTACGAGACTAAGAACTTGGAAAACCAGCAAATTTCAAATCTTTCTTGGGGTCAAACAGTTGAGGTTTATGAGGCGATTCTGGCATAAGTTATATACAGATTTTCGGTATACTGGTGGGGTGGTGCTGGTGTGCTGTGGGGAGAAGTTGGGTTTCTGTGCACATTAAGATCCATAGGTCTGGGAGATGTGTACTTTTCAACATCTCTCAGTATAGTGGTTTTTTTATTCACATCCCTGAGTGGGCCTCTCTAAATATGAGAATAGATGAAACTAAGCCTGCATTTTCTCTCCGTTTGTCGGTTGCAGCTGGGGTGATGACCTCCTTGGCTGTCTGTATGCCAAAAATGTATGTAAAATGCCAATGTAAAAAAAAAAAAAAAAACGATTCTTGCCCAATGGCTATTGATAAGGCCACAAAATAAAGAAAACCATATAGCTTATGCTTTTTTATATTTGATCTAAACAAGTATTTCGAACACTTTTTGAAAATGGTTACATAAAGAATTTGTACGAATTGAAGTTGACATTTATTAGCCCTGTAGGTGAGTTTATAATGGTCAAGCGATTTTGACTTTCTACCATGTGTTGGCTTAGCCCAAAAAATTATCACCATGATGTTCAGCGTTTAGTAGTGTGTATATTATGGTGTTATTTGTTCCAATTTAACTATTAAACATGTTGAGTCCTTTCTTACTGAAGACTAGGAGTTGGAGGTTTTCAATAAATTGTGATTCTTTTTTTTTTTTAATTTTTTTATTGGCCTTATGATCTTGCATATTAGCCATAGTACGAATTCTTGTGTGTTCAAATTGGGGGTTATCGGGAAAAAAGGGCCAGAGGCGACGGTGGGAATCGAACCCACGACCGCGGCGTGAGAGTCTCTCATGCTAACCACTCGGCTACCGCGGTCCCCAATTGTGATTCTCAAAACTTAGAATTATGTTTTAATTATGCCAATTAGAATGAAAACACTCAGTTCCTTTTCATAACCATGCTTGCTGACCAACCTCTATATTATATTATGCATTGCAACATAAATAAACCTTCAAAGATTTGTTGTTATATTGAAAAACGTAGTGTTTAAATTTTATTGTCTAGTAACTACATTTCAACCTTAATTTAAAACACTAAATATCTATGTAACACAATAATTATATATTTTTCTTTTTTAAGGGTGTACATTTACCTTCTATTTCACAAAGTCAAGGAATATCAGCTGTAAGTGTTACATTTCTTTTCTATACATTATTTTAAATTATTTGACATAAAAATGTATACCTCAAAAATACTGGCATCCCAAGGGTTCATACAACCTCACAGTTGACATACCCTCATAAAAACATAAATAAATAAATAAAAAATAAAAATGTAGGTAAATTTTTATTAATTTTTAATTAATTAATTTATATAATAAATGTATTTATTTTTATTACTCAGAAGTCAGACAGATACAAGCCGGCATCCCACAAGGGAGCATTCTTGTCCCATCCTTTATATCATTTATATTGCTGATCTATCTTTAGTGACTGGGAGATTTTTGGTGGTCCTGACAGGGGCCGGTGTTATAGTTGAGACGATGGATGGGAACGGGATGTTGGAAGTGGTCCTTGACAATGTGAGCCATTTGGGTGAAGTCCAGGGTTATGAGTCGGTTGACTTTACAGTGGTTGAAGGGACTCTGTGCAGCAAGAAGCCAAGTGCAGCAGTTGGCCAGTAGCCAAGTCGGTTGGGTTGAGAAGGCAAGTTCGAGGCTAATGCTTTAAGACCCTTGCTATTATTGATGCTTTAGTGCTTCATTAGTGATTGGCGAGAGATCGTCGAGTAGACAAGTCTGAAGTCAATGGGGCAGTGCCCCTCCTTATACATGATATGACCTACTCTGATTGGCTGCAGACTGGAGGGAGAGACCATTCCAGAACTAGTACTGACACTTAGCAAGTACTGTGGTAACTGCAGGTGGCCACCACATATCTACACACCGTAATAACATCATCACCTCCTATGTGGAAGATACCACAATTTTGTCCTCTAAGTTGAATCCTATCCTTATAGCTACTTCCATCATCCAAGAACACATTGAAAAAATAGTCTTGCTCTCCAATGTGCATCAACAACAAGTGATACCAACTTCCATTTAAGTCAAATATTTAGGATTATACCTAGACAGCAGACAGACATGGACACCTCAGACTTGGACTTTTAAGACTGAAATCTGTATAACCATAACTAAACTAACCTTATATAAGATGATTATTCGGAAATCGTGAGATGCGGTCTGGTGTGATGTAGCTTTCATACAAATGTATAATTAACAAAGTGAAGATTATTTTAAACAATAATTCCGACTCCACCATATCCATCCTCCCTACCAACTGAAAAAATGGAATGAGCTGAATTGGCCACAACAATATACAGGGAAATGTTTAGGGGAGGTACAAGGGACAAGCATTATCTCGAGAGAAAGGGGAAAGAAACACAGGTTGGAAGGTACATAGTTTACCCAACTATCATACTCTATATTCAACTAATTTTTACTCAAATACCATATTGTAAATACAACCAAATTTATCCCAACTATCATATTATAAATTTAATCAAAATTAACCCAAATGCCATGTTCAAAATACAACCAAATTTAACCTAACTATAACTAACGAGTGAAAATAGGTGAACCTCAGTGATCTGTTTTGGGGTTACTTCTGTATCTTATCTATTTAAATGATTTGTTCAGTGAATATTTACAAATAAAATTAACAGGTTTTTCTGATGAAATATTTCCTTCCCTCATTAAATCTAATATAAGATATGGTTTATTGAAGTGGGTCACTCAACATTGACAAAAAAAAGTCTTTAAGAGAGCTCTGAAGGTAATAAATTATTTTAATTATCTAGAAGAGACAGTTTAAGAAAATTGGAAATTCTGACACTTCCTTGTTGTTATATATGTTTATGTATTTTACATGTACATAAAAATGTCATTGAATTTAAATTGTTATAATCTGTACATAAATTTAACACAAGAAATAAAGTAGTGTATTCCATTTAGAAGATTGAGAACAATGTGTCCACGTTTGATGCTAATGGCAGTCAAGCCATTAATAAAGAAGTATTTTATTGAAAAAGAAAGAGAGAAAAAAGTATATATTTGAAATGATATACTATTATACATATAATAATTATACTTATGTGATTTTTTTAAATAATATAATTATGCAATTTTTTTAAAAGTAAATACATAAAACATACAGCATGGTTTTTTTCTAACCGTCTGCCATATGTATTATTATTTTATATATTATATCAACTAATAATGTATCTTTATTTTATTTTATTTTTTTTTAAAGGGAATACATTTACCTTTTCCATCACATTTCGGAGGCGAGGTGCAAGTAAGTGTTTGACTGGATTTTCTATTCATTATTAATATAGATTATATACAAGATTTTTAAGTACACTTATAAAACATTTTACAGGATTTTTTCCCGCCTGACTTCTATTGGGAAAATGAAAATTACAATATATCAGATACAGTAGGTATATGGTTAATTTGACATTAATGTATAAATACAGGTGATAGAAAAATGTGGAGGCATTTTATCACTTTGTAGTTTTTTGTTTGTTTCTATAAAATTGTTTGAATTCTTTCAGCACGGACGACACGAGCTACCTCGTGAAAGAAATTGTCAAGGAATGTCTGAAGAATGGGAAGCTAGAAATATTCATGAAGTAAGTTTATCTAATTTTATATATCGTTAATTGTCACTGAAACTTTTTATTTAAATTCCTGATTTCTATGACTAGTAGCCAATTAAAAAAAAAATGATCTTAATGATTATAAATTTTGAATTATAAAAGAAATCAAAAGATTTCGGCGATTATCTTATGTATTATGTTTTAGGAAAAGAATGGAAAACCTTTGATACGACTTAGAGATGTCAATGAAGTAAGTTAATACTGTGGAATTGTCTAATTTCAAACCAAATATGATAAATTGTTACCAAAAAAGTGCTTTTTAAAAAAATTCTTCTTTTCTCTTTTTAGGATGCGGAGCCTGCTTTTCTAAGACCAGACATTGGTGTCTATAGACGGAGAGAATTGGATCCAATTGAAGTAAGTCGGTCAAAAAACAATTTTCTTTATTTTTTAAAATAATTATTTGGCTCAATAAATTAAGTGTACTATCACATGATCAAAATTATAAATGCTTACTTAAATGTTTCTATTGTTTACACTTTCATTGGTAATTCAACTTGTATTTAAATATTTATTTTAATTTCAGGAATACGGCCGAACAAAAGGCATTCAAAAGAAAATAAAAGTCACCAATTTCAAGAAAGATGCAAGTACTATATTATTTATTTAAACAAATTTGATCAAATAAGCTACTATCAAATTTTTAATCTATTAACATTTACAAATTAAATAAGTTACAATTTCAGAGAATAATAGTATAGCTTTAAAGAAGGTACATGAAAACAAAATAGCAAAAACTTAAGGTTATTATTATTTAACATGTAATATATTTATGCATCTCTGTACATAATAATTTGTTTATTTGAAAAATTCGGCCCCAAATATCAAATAAATTGTTTTAAGTTTTCATAGCATTTGTGCATTTCCTGTGCTAAAATCATTGAATAAAGTGAACATTACTTGTAAGTCAAGACACACTAATTTTACATACTTAGAAAATATTGGGAAAAAACATACTTGGAAAATGGCAATAGAGTTAAATGTCTGTAGCACATGGATGAAAAATCCAAATATTCGCTAACTTGTCTAGTGTTATTTATTTTCTAGAACTATTTAGTAATTTCACACGAAGGATTATCAATCAGTGATGATTAACAATTTGATTCCGAAATGAAGAAGCTGTATGTTTTGCCAGGCTTTTGGCTTTTTAATAAAATTTATTATAAAATAAGGACATGAACATATAAATTGTAACCCCTCTTTTATTGGGCTGTCCCCAAAAAAGGGTTTACCAAATTTATGGCATGGCTCTTTCGCCAGGTTTTAAATTTAAAATTGACAAAACAAAAGATTCTTCATTCCAAATATATTTACAAATAATAAACAGATTCAAAGGACTAAAAGAAAAGAAAATACTTTATTGGAAACTAATAAATAAACTGTGAAATAACAAAGGGGGAAGCCTTGACTCACCTTGACAAAGAGCAAATTTTACTTTTAAAAATCCTTTCGGACAGCACCAAAAACAGGTCAGGAGTGAGTTCCCCTGCCCTGATCATTCGAAAAAAGGAAAGATAATCCGCTCCTGTCCCACCCATCAGTATTGGCGTTTAGAGGCAATACTATATCAATAATAAATATGACTGAAATATCTGTGCTGCTTTTATTCTTGTTTTTTAACTTCATGCACTTACATTGTATTTATTGTAAGTCTATGACTTTAAAACAATTGTATTTATTCTTCTGTAGAGCCCTGAGGAAGAATTAATAAAAAGCTGAAAGCTTGGCAAAAAGAAATAACTACTTCTTTCCAGAGCATATCCCCAAGCCTTGAAATCAAATTATTAGATATTTTGTTTTAATTTACTATAAACAGTGAAAAATTGTAATTGATACATTAAAAGGAATAGCAAGTTTGGTTAGAAGAGGGAGGATTTGAAAACTCATGACCATTGTTTTCCACTAGTGATCTTAATGTATACATTTTTGNCAATGATGTGGCAAAATTGAAAGAAAGAAAAACACTCAGTTCCATTGTCTATGTCTAGAGATCACACTAGACCAGTGGCTTTCATGGAATTCACATACAATTAAACTACTAAGAGAGCCAATATTGCCTGGGGTGCAGAAGGCTCTGTGCCAAATGCTGGGGGATTAAGCCCCAAAATAACCCTTTGGCTTCACCTGTGTCTTAAGACCAATGTTCACATATGGGTTGGTGGTGTGGTGGACCAAGACTTTGTAGGGCAAATCGATTAGGCTCTTAAGCGGCACCCAAAGACAAGCTTGCCTCAGTGTCACTGGAGCCATGAGTACAACACCAACTGCAGCCTTGGAGGTGTTGTTAACCCTCCCACCACTCCCTATTTTAATCCAAGGACAAGCAGAGCAATGGCTCACAGGCTCATAAATGGACACCCATCTGCAAGGCTATGTCCTCAAAAATAGAAACTGAGGGAGGAGATACAGGTAGATGCCATATTAGGCATGCCAATCGATGCCACTACTCCAAATATAACTTTACCAAAAAGTACAACGCACTGATACCAGAACGGGAAGTGGGCCAAAGGAACACCTCTAAAGGTAAATCCTTACTGGTACACTGACAACTCAAAAACTGATAAAGGCATGGAAGCTGGAGCCTTCGGGATGAATCTGAAGACCAAACCGACTTTAAACTTAGGTACACAAACAACACTTTTTCTTTTTGAAATTATAGCAATTGAACTCTAGCCAGAGAAATAAAGAGGCTAAAAACACATTCCTGGATGATAGTCATAATCTCTGACAGTCAGGCAGCACTTACAGTGTTAACTTCATGTGAGGTGAAGGTTAAAAGACTTAGAGAGGCAAATTCTACTCGTCGTCCATTCCCTTTAGTTAGAATAGTTTTCAAGTCCTGATGAAGAGTTATTATGCAAGTATGTTGAAGGAACTGAGTTTTTTCTTTCTTTTAAATTTGCCTTGTCATTGATTTTATTTTTTATACAATTGTAATGACTTAAATATTGACGTTCATTTTGGAAAGGTGAAATATGTACCTATATATAAGGATAACTATAGGATAATGCCATGCTAACCTCTTGTTACAAGCTTCTGTTCTTTTTATTCTTTATAAAAGTTAATAATGGTGCTTTTAGATGTAAGTTTCTGCTTAAAATGTCAAAAAGACTTCGGTGCTACTGACACATTCAAATGTAATTTACCAATTTATACTAAATGCACGATCTTGATTCGCGATGAACTCAAGGCTATGAAGGACGCCAAGAGACAATTGCTTTTCTTTTGTTTTCGTTGTGATACAGACTCGAATTATTCCTTAAAGGAATTAAAACAGTCTATTTGCGAATTGAAAAATTATCATATTGATCTTGCTCGGTTGGAAAAATCACTAAACAACATAAATAAAAAGATTGATGATATGGAGAGTGAGCTGTCTTCAGCAAAAGGTGAGCACTTTTGTGATACATTTGATTTTACTGAATCTGTAATATCACAATTAAATGAACGTTCTGTAAGAAGGAAGAATATCACACTTTTCGGTTGACGAAGCTACTTCTTTGAATGCTCAAGAAAACAGGACGAAAAATTGGTTTTGAGTTTAATTAAAACTGTTTCTCCTATGTTCGATAAATCTTTTTGGTTGCAAAGACTCGGAAAACACCCAATTTTAAACAAAAACTGCCCTATTAAAGTGATTTGCTCCAATAAAGAAGATGCTCAACTGCTGCAGCATAGTTTCAGAGCTGGTAAGAAGGCCAGTCTCGTTTCCATTTCAACCACTAATGACAAAACCAAAATGCAACAGTCTTACTACTCATCTTTAAGAGAAGAACTGAAAAAAAGAATGGGTTCGGGAGAATCGAACTTGGTTATTCGTCATTTCAATGGCACCCCTAAAATAGTAAATGACCAAAACCCAAAAAACAGGTAAATAACAAATCGAATCATTCTCTCAGTTTAATTTACCAAAATGTAAGAGGCTTAAACACTAAACTACACAACTTCAGAAGTGTAATCCCTAGCTTGGACTGTGATATTATTCTAGTTACTGAAACATGGCTCTCACCTGGAGTCTCAGACTCTGAACTTGGTTATGTGTATGTAGACAGGTTAGAAATGCTCTAACCAGCGCAAAGCACCATGGCGGAGGTGTATTGATCGCTGTCAGGAATTGCTATTCATCAGTTTGTATATCACTTAACTCTCAAAACCTTGAACTGCTCTTCATACTCATTGACATCGGCTTCATTAAGTATTTGGTGGCCACAGTCTACATGCCACCTAGTCAAACGTGATATTTACGAACAGCTGTGCAATGAAGTATAGAATGTAAGTGCTCAATATCCAAACTGCCAGATTTTTCTTTGCGGTTTGAATATACAAGATTGGTTGGACAATGAAGATTGTTCCTCTAGTCAAGCGATATGCTCCTCTCCAGCCAAGTTACTCTATGACTCCTTTGTAAATATACTAGCTTTAAAGCAAGTAAACAATGAAGTTAATGTTAAGAATAATAAGTTAGATTTAATATTTGCCAAATTATTATTATTCAAAATTTTCATCTCTTCCAATGTAAAACACTGTCGAATATCTGCTATAAGAATTATCTTTCCAATACAGAAAACTCAATCCAATCTAATACTAAAAAGTTTTGGAATTACGTGAATTCTGTCAACATTTCTAAGGCCATGCCCTCTTTCATGCGTTTAGAAAATGAATCTTCGTCTAATGGCCATGACATTGCTAATCTCTTTGCTAAATATTTCTCTCAAGTCTATGACCACAGTTCTGATCTCCCCACTTCCCTAACTGAAACAACCTCTCTCCTTATGCCATATTCTCACACTATATCTAATTACTATATCTCAAAAGATGAAATACTAAACTCCAACTCATCACGCAATGTGAAAGAGTCTTCTGGTCCTGATTGCATACTCACATATTAGTTAAAAATTGTTCTACGGCTCTCATCACTCCTCTACCACCAGTCGTTAAAAACAGGAATTTTCCCCAATGCTTGGAAATGCACTTTTGACATTCCTCTACATAAAGCCAAACGATATATTTAATGTTTCCAATTACAGACAATATCTATTCAATCCATGTTCTCCAAGATATTTGATTCCATTGTTTGTAATAAACTTAAAAACGACATAAAATCTTTTATTACACCTCAGCAACATGGTTTCCCCTCCAATAGATCAACTAACCTGCCCACATTTGAAAATTATATCTTAGATGCAATAAACTCTGGACACCAAGTAGACTCAGTGTACACTGATTTCTCTGAAGTTTTGATAAAGTAAATCACACAATACTGTTAAGGAAACTAATGGATTATGGCTTCACCGGAACTTTCTTGAATTGGTTATCCAATTTTCTCTCCAAAGGAAAACAAATAGTCAAAATAAAATCATTTAAATCGTGCCCCTTTGCGGTTTCCTCGGGAGCCCCGCCAGGGTCTCATCTCAGACCGGTTTTGTTTCTCTAATTTATTAATGATATTCATCTTGCTCTCCCTTCTGCTCAATTTTTATTATTTGTTGACAATCTGAAAATCTATTCCAAAATTACTTCTCATTTTGATTGCTTTCAATTACAAACTTATATCAATAATGGATAGCACCTGGTGCTCTAATAACAAACTTGCTCTCAATGTCTCCAAATGCTACACAATTACATTCTCTCATAAGAAACAACCTTTTCTTTATCACTACTCTCTCCATGATTCTCTTTTAACATGAGTTGAGGTTGTAAAGGATCTTGGTGTACTTTTTGATCAAAAGCTTAAGTTTAAAGAACATATTTCTTCAATAAAAAATAGATCTATGAAGATGCTAGGTTTCATCATCTGGAACACCTATGAATTTAAAAATCCTCTATGTTTTGTCCATCTTTATAAAGCTTTTGTACAACTCATTGTAGAATAAGCTACACCTGTTTGGAACTCATACTATGTAAATTATCAAAAAATTCTTCAATTTGTACAAAACAAATTAAAAAAAAAAACTTTCTTATAAACTCAATTTTCTGAACTCTGCCTACCCTGGAATCCGATCTGAATTTAAACTTTTCGAACTGGCACTAAGAAGGGATTACATTGATATTGTTTTTATATTTAAATTATGAAACAATCTCATTGATAGTCCTTCTCTCCTCTCTCGGCTATAGCTACATGTCCCTTCGCACTCTCTCAAAACCCACAAACTATTTTATATTTAATTCCAAAGCTCTAACTACATGCTCTGGGGACCGCGGTAGCTGAGTGGTTAGCATGAGAGACTCTCACGCCACGGTCGTGGGTTCGATTCCCACCGTCGCCTCTGGCCCTTTTTTCCCGATAACCCCCAATTTGAACACACAAAGAATTCGTACCATGGCTAATATGCAAGATCATAAGGCCAATTAAAAAAAAAAAATAAATAAATAAAAACTACATGCTCTCTTCTCCTCTACACCGAATAACAATCAAGAGTTACAACATCTGCAATAGCATTGACTTCTTCAATAGTTCTGTGCAATCTGTGAAAAACCATATCCTACAACCCTATTCTAGTTGAATTTTCTTACCAGTTTATATTTTTTAAATGCTTTTATTCATACTGTTAAAAGTTTATTACAATTTATTTCATTTACTGATTCACCTAAATCTTGCACTCTAGTCTTATTACATATCTACAAAGAGCATTATTTTCATTTGTCTATTTGGTTAATAAATAATTATGTCTTTCATTTTTGTTGTTGTTCAGTTTTTACTCTTTAATTGTATTTTTATATTTATCATTTATATTTACCATTTGTAATATTACCATGTATATAATATGTCCTTATTCTTTTTGTATATATTATTTGTATTTTTTGCATAATTATTTTGTATATTATTTTTATTTTTTGTTATTGTAAAATGTCTTTTTATAGTGTATTTCGATCTGTAAATAAATAAATAAATAAAATTAACTGTCATGCACACACCTTTAATTATTTAATATGATCTCCAATATAGCTTATTACAATTACAATTATTATTTGAAAAATGAAATAATTTAAAATTGTCTTCTGTTTTATTGAAGTCTCAATTTAACCCAACTCAATTTTTTAATGTTTCAGTGCATTTTATTTTCACTAATAGTCGTAATTGCCAATTTTAATTTACAAAAAAAAAAAATCTATAAGTAAATAAATTTAATGCCAACTGGCAATATTTTATGTCTAATTGTCTACCCTCGTGCAACCCCCTCCCCCACACAACCAAATTCAATTAAGAAAGAAGCTTTTTATTAGATTTTATTCCTAGTAGTATTTATTAAAACATTTACATGCTTTTCATTTACCCATTGTTCGGTATGTTTGCAGGATAAAAAAATTGTCTATGATCCTCGGTTTCGAACAGTTGATCCTTGTGTGAGTATAAAGTGTTATGTGCATTTTGGAGTTGGTATCTAAAATAATGCATTAATACATTTACAAACCCAACTGTAATATAATTGGTGGTTAACCATGTAAATTAATTAATTTGTCTTGTTTTACATATGTTTAGAACAGGCTCAATCCTCCATATTCAAAACACGTTACGGTAAGATGAAACAAAATCATATAAATTTACAATTATTTTAATCCAATGTAAATTTATGTTTGTAGAAAAGGGAATTGCCACCACCGGTAAGTTTTAAATTTTATTCAAATGAAAATATACTGTAAAATACATCAGAATACCTAATCATATTCTACCTATAATATAAATTTAGGATGCAAATTAGTACAAAAATGAGTTATAGTAATGAAATGTCCCAAAGTTTGCTTATTTGCCACTTTTCTATTCAGCCTTATAATATATAATTTTGTGTTTGCTCTGTAAATACATTGTTGTTAAGCTGTATGATTACATAGATTTCATTACCCTATTTACATTATTTGAGTAATAATCAATGAATAAATTGAAATTCATAGTCCAAACTCTAGCTTCCTTAACTTTAACCCAGCCCAACCCTAATTCAAATCCTAACTCGCCTTGAATCTTAATCCTAGCTTAACTAACATAACCTGTTCTTAAATGTAACTAATCCAACCTTGATTCTAGTATAATTACTCCATTAACTCTAAGTTCCCTAATACTTACTAATCTGTAATATAATCTGTTTCTAACCTTAATCCACATAACACATCACTAACTCAAATTCAACCTTCCCTAACCTTAAACTAACACGCCCCTAATTCGAATCTTAACACATTTTGAATCCTAACTTTATATAATACATCTCTAACTTAACTAGTCCTTAATTCAACACTAACACAATCTTAATCCTCACTCTAACATAATCTGTCCTTAATTGTATCACTAACTCAACCTTAATCCAAAAAACTTAACTTAACCTAACATTACACATCGCTAACTCAAACTTGAATCGTTAACTCAAGAAATGTACCTTAAATTATGGCTTTTTAGCCAATATCCATCTAAGAATTCACAAATACACCAATACTTACTAACTATTCACCAAAACAATCACAAAAGGATCACAAAAGAAACAATTTTATTTTTTAAAATTGAACATGTGTTAGATTAATGGGAAGTTGATCTCGACTAAACCATTCTTTTGAGATTGTCCCAAATATGTTGGATGATGATAAGGTACTTCTTGCTGGCCACTTAAGCGTTTACATAGCTGTGGTGTTAAGATACTTAGAAACACATGTTGGCCAATCGTGTAGAAGCAATGGTTCAGAGCCTAGGAAAGGCATAAAGTGCCACATGATCTAGATGGACCACAGTGACCAAGTAGTTAAGGCGTCTGACTCGCATTTGCCCGCTAGTGGTTCTGAGTTCAAATTCCAGCAGAGCACAAGGAATTTTAATAGAGAATAATATTTGAAAAACTATTGTAATAATTTAACCCGTCGTCCATGACACCCAACTGATAAGTTATATGTCGGCAAAGAAGTCCTCCTGTATGACAGAAATTGCTTTACATTTTTCACCACATATCTTAAAGCTTTTAACACCCTCTGATGGTTAGTACCGACTCAATATGTGCCTCCCAAGAAATGCCATCACAGAACATGATTGATTCTCCTCCATGCTTTATGCATGTTTTTTCATGCAGCACTGACTTTATTGTTTTCCAGGTCTTCTCCAGAATCTTTCAAAACCATTTGGACTGTTACAGGCCACACTCTCATCAGTGAATACAATTTTGTTTCCATTCCTCTATATTCCATGATTGGTATTTCCTTGCACGACTTTGGAGAGAGGACCCATTTCTGTTGTGTGAAAGAGTCCTTTCACAGATCTTCATGACCTAAGGTTTGACTCTCTCAATCTCCTTCTAACAATTCACTAGTTTTCGTGGTCCGCTTGACCAATTAATATCTTTCAATTAATTAAGGTTTTTGGTTGAGAAAAAAAGTCAATGTCACAAGCGGGATTTGAACCTACGACCTTCGGCTAGATATGCCGCTTCTCTACCACCTGAGCTATCATGACTTTGATCCACTCGAACTAGTGAATTGAATAAGTTAAAATGAAGTATATCTTCACTAAAGCTCTCTGTGTCCATTTCAATTGTCGCCGAGAATCAAATAGATTACACGACATTTGAAAAATGGCAAAAAGGAGGGACAATTCAAAAGGTGGGGTTGAGATGGGAAGGTGGTATCCGAGTGAATTGAAGTCACGATAGCTCAAGTGGTAGAGTAGCGGCATATCTAGCCGAAGGTCGTGGGTTCGAATCCCGCTCGTGACACTGACTTTTTTATCTCAACTAAAAACCTTAATTAACTTCTTCTAACAGTTGACATTGAAATTGATGTCCACAGAATTCTAGTGATTATGTTTCTAATGTCAAAAGCTGTCGAATTCCTTGCCTTTTTAAAAACAGTTGTCTATTGCTTTAGTGAATCTGTAACATCCTGAATTTGGTCACCTGAGTAACTCCCATTCCCAATAGCGACAGCACAATGATTTTCCTTCTTCATGATGATTTTGCTTGATTCATCCTAGCTTAGACTATTTGTTGTGACACAATGACACAAACAAAATTTAACAGAGTAAAGAAAATAGTGAAAAACTGCTACCCAGATATAGATTATTATTAATTTTTCTACATTTTATTTATTTTATTACAGCGAGCAAATATGGATTCACCGAAGAAAAAAGATCAAATTCAATCAACTTCTGAGCAATTAAAGGTCAATTTTTACTTAATAATTATATATATACATACATATATTCTGAATATATATAAAAATTAAATTAGATTATTTTTCTGTAATTCTTAATGTACTATTGTACTGTCACACTTACGTGTGTTTTGGTATTATACTATGTATTGCTCTTTATTATATAAATACAAACAAATATTGAATAATTTTTATTTTATTTCATGTTCTCTATAAATAGCGAAAGGAGCCTAGACCTGAAATGGATTTCACTGGCAAAAAAGTAAGATTATATGTATATAAATTATGTCTGCTTAAATTATTTACCCAGGACAGATAAACTTATTATCATTAAATTTCTAAGAATACTTATATAACTAGAAACCCTTCCCAGTTCGCTTTGCCCATTCTGCTTGAGAAATTCCAATTAGATTATTCCTAGCCACAAAAAGGAAAGGTATTCTCAAACTTTAATGTAGTGTTTTAATAATAAAGATCTTTTTTAAAGAGAGTTTTGTAATAAAAACACTCATATATATACAGGATGATTCACAAACTATATACGAAACTCAAGAAGATGATTCTTTAGCTTATTTGCAACAAAAAGTATTCTATACATTTTTTTAAAATTCTCAATAGTTTTGGAAATATTTATAAATTAATTTCATTTCTTCAAAATTTTTTTGTTTTTTTTAGGTTAAACCGTCATAACATTTTTGCTCTTTAAGGTAGAGCAATCTGATAGCCCCATTAGAAAGAGGGATAAATTTCCCATTACATAATAGTTTTTAAAATGATTACTTTAAGCATTTCATTTTTTGTTTAATCATGAAACAATCCAGTTTTTGTCACTTCAGCTAGATCCTCTGATTTGATGTGGGTGTTGAGTACACAAGAGAACTTGCATACTTAATTATTACAACCTTTTCCCTTTGTTGTTACTATCCAATATTTTACTTCTAAACAGTGTTATTATTAGTTCTACTTCGGTAATCATTCACCATGGTTTACACTAACGAGGAGTATGGCAATATGATATTTGCATATTGTGCCACTCGGCGTAATGCAGCCCAGGCAGTGCAGGAGTACCAAGTTCACCAAAGAAGTTCTCTTGTATATACAATAGCCACATCAAATCAGGGGATTAAGCAGATTTTCTGCTTCTTGTCAATTTTTTCCATTTTGTGTTTTTCTTAAAAATGGGATGTTATTTTATTGTGAAAAGTAATTATTTTTTATTTTATTATCAATGTGAATAAAGAAAAAGGAAAGCATTCGCCATCTTTTGAGAATGAATTTCTTATTCAAACTGTATTTTTCCATTTATCCTAGGAAAAAGCACATGGTTTTCAAGCTTAAATGCAGATTAAAACTCTAGCTGAAATGACAAAAACTGGATTGTTTCATGATTAAAAACAAAATGAAATGCTTAAAGGAATCATTTTAAAAGCTTATTTATCTGATGGGAAATTTATTCCTCTTTCTAATGGCACTATCAGATTGCTATACCTTAAAGAGCTAAAAAGTTATGATGGTTTTAACCTAAAAGAACTGCATTTTGGAGAAAAGAAATTAATTTATAAATATCTCTGAAACTATTGAGAATTTTTAAAAAATGCATAGAATATTTGTTGTAGCAAATAAGCTGAAGAATCATCTCCTTAGTTTTATATATATATAAATTTCAAATTTTGTAAATACAGTTTCTTCATATTTTATATTGCTTTTTTTTGTTACAGTTCCTTCGGGCTGTTTTACCATGTGTGGGTATTTATTTGTAAATTTTTCATTGAATTTTATCATTTTCATGGTTAATGTAACATTGTTACGGTTAATTTTAAATAAGTTTTCTGATATGAAAGCTCAACAATTATGGTTGTTATTTCCCATAGAATTGTTGGTGTTTTGTTCATAGAGTCTCCAAAAATACATCAAATATAAATCAATAGATTAGATTTATTTGGTGCAAGTTTCAATTTCCAAAATAACAACAAATATTGTTTGAATAATTTTGAACAGATTTTGTGGTGTAAGAAGTGTACAATAACCATGGTAGAGCAATGATAAATGCAGCATAAACATTTGTATGTTAGTAGAAGTAATTGTGAATAACAATGTTATATTTCCAGAATGATCGCAATTTCCGTGTACCTAAGGGAGCTCACCCAGAGGTAATTAATTTGATCTGAAAAATAAACTATTTATATATTTCATATCATTTTATAGGCATTAGTTTATTTTCCATTCCTTTTAATAAACTGGACACTATTTAAGGAGGAGGAAGGATTGGCCATTTGTTATTCCTATGGAAACTGTTGGATGTTGTATCTTATAAAATATTTAGCCTTTCCACTTAGGTGATAAGGGCTTAAACAGCATATCTTAAACTTACACATTTATACTATTACCTAATCTAAGTTTGGTGGTACTCATTATATTATTTATCACACTAATAAATTCATACATATATTCATACATACATACTAATTCATACAAAACATAACCTTTCAAACAGTGCATACAGTTAAAAGAATTAGTATTTGGTATTATGCTGGTACCACCAACCACCTTATAAACATAACAACTAACCTACTTGGTAGGTCTTTGGGATATTCTGCCAAAAATCCACCCACACAAACTCAAAACATCAACCTAATAAATACAGTAGTTTTTGTGATCTGCTTGACCAATTAATATCTTTCAATTAATTAAGGTTTTTAGTTAAGATGAAAAAGTCAGTGTCATGAGCGGGATTCGAACCCACGACCTTCGGCTAGATACCCCACTACTCTGCCACTTGAGCTATCGTGACTTCAATCCACTCGGATACCACCTTCCCATCTCAACCCCACCTTTTGAATATTCCCTCCTTTTTGCCATTTTTCAAATGTTGTCTAATCTATTTGATTCTCGGCGACAATTGAAATGGCCACGGAGAGCTTTAGTGAAGGTATACTTCATTTTAGCTTATTAAATTCACTAGTTTTTGTGGACCGCTTGACCAATTAATATCTTTCAATTAATTAAGGTTTTTAGTTGAGATAAAAAAGAAGAAAAATGGCAAAAAGGAGGGAAAATTCAAAAGGTGGGGGAAGCTAGTGTCTGAGAGGATCGAAGTCACGATAGCTCAAGTGGTAGAGTAGCGGCGTATCTAGCCGAAGATCATGGGTTTGAATCCCGCTCGTTACACTGACTTTTTCATCTAAACTAAAAACCTTAATTAATTGAAAGATACTAATAAATACATTTATAATATTTTTCCCACATTCCTGATTCAAACGCACCAATCTATCTCAAGCATTCAACACTCCTCTAAAACCTTATCCTTCAGAATTGCAAAGTCAAGACTATGGAATTTGCTTCTCTCAGAAGTAGTTCTGCTTCCTCGCTGGCTTGTTTCAGGTCCATGACAGCTGAGTTTTTAAAAATGACATCAATCATCTCTTTTTCTGCCCTCTTCCTTTTCTTTTCCCCTTTTTTCTCTTTCTGATTCTAATTCTGTAATGTGGTTCATCATTCGATTATAAATAATTAATATTTTCAAGAATATATTAATTTCTTTGTTGTTTTGTAGATTTTATTTTATGTTATTATTATTATTATTATTTTACTATGTTTATAAAACTAAATTTATTTCTAATATACGTATATAAACCCTATTTGTACCTGTAAAATAAATAAAAAAAATGTTACTTATGATTTTTAATTTTCACTATTTTTCTAATTTCACCATCATCAACGTTTAAATATTTCATTTTTGCTTTGTTAGTGCTAAGGAAAATTGAAAAAATGCAGTTATAATATTTTTTAAAATCCATATATGTACTTACTAGTCATAATTAACCGTATTAATTATTTAAATTAAATATAATTTTTATCTAAGGTCATGTTGAGATGAAAAAGCTTGTGTCACGAGCAGGATTCGAGCCCATAATCTTCTAGCCTCAATATGCCGCTGCTCTAACTACTTGAGCTATCATGAGATGATGGGTTGCGTCTCTGGGACTGAAGTCACAATAGCTCCAGTGGTTAGAGCAGCGATATATTGAGCTCAAGGTCATGGGTTCAAATCCTGCTTGTGGCACTAGCTTTTTCATCTCAACTTTAGATAAAAAGTATAATTAATTTAAATTTATTTGTTGTTGAATATTTTTAATACACTTTAATTATAGAAAATTTCCATTATAATTAATTAGTAATTCTCAGATTATTTTAAACCATTACATTCTACTTGTTTTCTAGACACATTTTCATACAAAAACTATCTTTGAAAAATGAAGATTTGATTAATAATATTTCTCATGATTAGAATTTTCAATTTATAATGTTTGCAAAAATTTAAATTCATAAAAAGATTATTTAGCACGAATTTCAACTATTATTAATTGTTTTTATTCAAACCTGTCAATGTTACAGCTTTTAATGGAACACCGAAACTTTTGCCAAAAGCCTGTAAGTAATGTTTAAGTTTAACTTAAAGCTTAAAAAATAGTTTCAAAAGTAATATTTTTGACAAGATAAGATATTGTTAGGGCAAAAATAAGTCAATAACATGCTTACTGATGTGGCATTCAAATTGTCTATTAATGCGTTCTGTTGGTAACTAGTATCGTGAACCAGTAGTGCTTTGTGATGCAGCTGCCATGGCCAACATTGGACGTCATCTCATTTGGTCCGAAGATAACCAACAAAGTCCATGTGAAGTAAATAAACATGCTCAATCTATTGTTATTATCTATTAAGTACTTTTAATTAATACTAATATGCATGTAAAACTGTTAATATTTTAACCCTTCAATCCATATTGTCAGAATAGAGTTTTATTTTTTTTTAATTTTCCATTTCTTTGGCACCAAATATGTAGTATAGTAAATAGTGTTTCTCAAAAATACTATATTCATAAACTTAAGATTTTTAAACAAGATCTTTTTTGGTTTTGAGTCCAGTAATACCCCAGAACATCAATTACAACTTATAAGCACACAAAAGGTTTATTTTTTGACTGTTATTGTTTATAATACTTTCAAAACATTAAAAACTTAGACCAAGTATAACAAAATGAATATTTTTTTCTATAGTTTAGGGTCAAAAAGGTTGTAACTTGAAAAGATGCCTGAGAATGAGGCCACTGGCAAAAATGAAATGAAATGATTATTCTAGAAAACAGGAGTTCTTTTTTTCTGGTAGTTCGTTCTTTTATGTTGAACACAACAATTGTTTTAATTACACCACTTTGAGTTTCTACACCACTCTACCATTCAACAGTACCACTGAGAAGTAGACATCATCATATGCTCCTTTAAGCAGAAGGAATGCTGCTTGGATTCTTAGCCTTCAATCGAGTGTAGCACCCAGGCTTGCTTTGGAAACTCAAAATTCACCTATTTTTTCATCCTAAAATCCTATCTGTCCATATTTTGAAATATGAATCAGAACGTCCTTTCGACATTTACTATGTCAAAGCAGGGGTTCCACAAGGCAGCTTTTTTTGTCCTATTCTTTATTCAGTATACACTATAGATCTTCACATATGCAGATGACACCACCATCCTTTCGGCAAACCACAACAGTGGTCTTCAGAAACCTCTAAGACCATCTGTCCTTTTCAGAATGGTTGCAGAAATGGAGGATAAGACTTAACAAAACTAAATCCAAGCAAATAACTGTCACCTTTCTCTGTATCATCTCCAATATACTATAACTAAGTTCCTTTCTCAACAACCAAAATAATACTCATTATATGATATAAACTACTCAAACGACTATTTGAAAACAACTTTTACTACAAAGGAAACACCTAATTTATTATACATAATTACTACAGCCAATCTGGACATATGGAATTGAACTGTGGGGTTTAATTTGAATGTTCTGACCTCAATCGAATCCAATTAGACCAGTTCAAAATCCTGCGAATTATTTCAGCTTCCTACTTCATATCAAACCTTACCACCCACACAGACCCAATAGTGCTATTATAGGAGTGTAATTAATGGATTACTTCTTCATCCTTATAATATTATAAAACACAATTTATAAAGAAAAAAGTTACTTGTAGCACTGTTTTAATATAATAAAAATAATTATAAAATTAACACCTACCAGATGTTGAAGGGTTAAATGGCCCATATATGGAATAAGCTAATTATCAATAAATTACACAACAATAGAAAAAAGCTAATAATATATTTTGCAGCTTCGAACAACAGTGGCGCCTAAAGAGGACAAGAAAATGATAAAGGTAAATAGATGAGAAACAAGATTATTTGTAGTTTTCTTTGGTTTTATCATCATTGATATTGTTATACTATGGATCTTTAGGATACTAAAATACCACAAATGCAATAGTTTCAGATTTTAGAAGGCGGAATTTACAAAGCAGATACTGCAGCTCAAACTGCGGAGACTGTCAACAGGGTAATATTATGTATATAATGGTTATGCTCAAATGTAAAATCTAAGACCTGGATACAATTTCCTGTGTGCTTTATGTGGTATAAAAAAATTCAATCCTGATATTGATTTTTAAAATCTAAAAATATGTTCAAATAAAAAGAAAAGGTGCCGAATGAGAAATTGTTAAATGCTTAAGCTGTTAATCAAACTAATTTCTCTCTTTCAGATTTCTAGTAAATAAGTGAATAGTATGTCTAAATACTAGTTTTCACACAATCCCTTCAAACATGACATTCCCCAAGCAATGGAAAACTTATTTTATAACACCATTTTTAAAAAAGGACAAATCCAATATTCAAAATTATAGGCCGAACCTATCGTCTCAGATACCATGACATCTTCATTTAGAAATGCACTTATTAAAGAACAACAAACAACATGGGTTCATAAAGGGGAGATCGATGGTAACCTGGATTTTATACAAACACTTTACTGTTGATTTGTTGGAAACAGGTTCTGAGGTCCACTCCATATATATAGACATACCTGTGTAAGGCTTTTGGCAAGGTACATAGCTCACATAGCTTACAAATTGAAAATCCTGGGAGTATAAAACCCACTTTTTAGTTGGCTACGATCCTTCTCAGAGAGATCTGTTGTACTGGAATTGACGGTGTATATTCCCATACCATTGATGCCTATTCGGGTGTTCCACAGTGTTTGCACTCCTGACTGATTTTCATTTTCATTTTCTTTAACGATGTATACAACACAGTTTGAGCTCACAGTTAGCTGATGATCTTAAAACGCACAAATATCACATTTAAGTGTCACTATACAACAAGATTTAGAGAAATAGAAATGGTGAATGATGGAGTGAGAGCGGTGTTCAATCCTTTTTAAAAAAAAAGATAGTTCTACTCATAGTAAGTTGTTTTCCAACGATCCGGATTTCGAGCCCTTAGCTCATCGTGAGGTTGAAGGATTTCTACAACCACGTCTCTTGACATGAATTGCAAAAGTGAAACCACCGATACCCCGATACGGTTTCATTTGGCTCATAGACCGTATGTTAAAACTTCCATTAACATCTGCTAACTATAAAAAAGAATTCAAACTATTAAACCTTAACAAAAAACAATGGGTATATTGAAATATTTATTGATAGGTTGCTAGTTAAAAGAATAAAAAAATTAACTTTAAAAGAATGAAAAATAGGACTCAGCCACCCCACCATAAATGAATCATTAGGTTTCTGTTGTTTGCCAAACATTAGTGAATTATCGGAAAAAGTTAGTAAAATTTTTAAACAAGAAGGTTTTAGAATAGCTTACATAAGTATGGGGTCCCGTAAGCATCCTCTCAAAACCTAAAGACAAGGTAGACAACTTGGCAAAAAGCGGGATTTACCAACTCAATTGTAATGATTGTAATATTAAATATATAGGACAAAGCAGTAAAGAAATAAAAACAAGAGTAAAAGAACACTTGCCTACATCGAACAAATTTTCTGAATTTAAGGACTATTTAAAAGAAACAAAACATAATTTCAATTCAAATTTAAATACAAGAGTGTTACATAGTTTCAACAAAGGGAAAGAACTAGATTGGTTTGAGAAATTTGAAATTAAAAAATGTAAAATTGAACATGGTGATAAATGCATTAATAATATAACAGATTTTGATCTACCTCCCATTTTAAATATGTACATAAATAATATCAAACATCCAAATAATTAATCTAATTATTTTAATTGTTATTATTTTTATAGTAATTTATAGTAATATTAAGTATTTATTATTCTAATATTTATTTGTGTTATAATTTCCGCGTTTCGCACGTTCAAATTGAGCGTCATTAAAAAAATCAGCTGATACTTGGAACGTCGCGTTGGCGGAGGTATCAGCGGTTCACTTTGGCAATTCATGTCGAGAGACGTGTTTGTAGAAGTCCTTCAACCTGATGATGAGCTAAAAGGCTCGAAATCCGGATCGTTGCAAAACAACTTACTGGGAGTAGGAACTATCTTTTTTTTTTTTAAAGGATTAAAAGATTTAGATTCCTTCTCAGATGGTGCGTCGCCAATGGGGTAATAAATAATTAATGCTGATAAATGCAAAGTCTTGGCGTTTTCAAAGAGGTATTCAATCGTTTCCTCTTTTAAATGTTGTGTAAAGGGTAACCGAGTAGATAAGGTCTCCACCTTCTCAGACCTGGATGTAATTCCAGTTGGAACACCTACACTATCAAACTTCCATATAGAAACCCTCATAAAATGGATCACGGCTGATTTTTCCTACCACTTAGAAATAAATCACAGAACAAGTTATGGTCAGGCACCTACCACCCACCGAATAGCTAAACTTTGCAATGAATTCGTAACAAGAGAGACTTGTTCGCCAATAATTTTGCCACCTTTAATAGGTCAATTAGAGGGGTGGTTCTGCATACTGGGGAGAATTATAGAGACAGATTTGCTCTTGAGTTTGATCAGTGATTAAATTAAATACTTTTTTTTTAAATAAGCGATTTGTGTGCTAAATTGACTGTCCCGTTGTGGGGCTTCCTGTTAAGACTGGAAATTTTAATAAATAAAGAAATAGTTCAACATTGTTGTCTTAACATACGTGTTCAATATAACACAACAAAAATTGTCCTGATATGAAATTGAATGTATATATGTGTACAGTAAATCCAAGTCTCATGCCATTCTACAATGTATGTCTTATAATAGTCAGTCAGTAGAGACTAGTCAGGATATCTGTGATACCATTTGTAATTAATTTATGATTTCTGTATGTTCCTAGTCTAGAAGTAAACCTGGTCATCAGCTGTGATACTGATATTGATTTATTATTTAATTACAGTATTGGTGTTACATACACAAACAAAAAGCTTTGATACCCAAAGGCTTGTCAATACTTTTTAAAAGGATAGTTCCTACTCACAGTAAGTTGTTTTGCAACGATCCGGATTTCGGGCCTTTTAGCTCATCATCAGGTTGAAGGACTTCTACAACCCTGATGATGAGCTAAAAGGCTCGAAATCCGGATCGTTGCAAAACAACTTACTGTGAGTAGGAACTATCCTTTTAAAAAGAATTGAACACCACACTCACTCCATCATTTATCATTTCTATTAAAGGCTTGTCAAGTCCTGAGAATTTACCACCAATTTTTAAAAATAAATGTTCCAATTTATTAAGTAAGTGTTTATCTTATTGTTCAATAAATCTTTAAAAAATGGGAAATTTCCACATAAGTAGAAGAAAAGCTTTGTTGTTCCAATACACAAAGTGGTGACAAAAGGTTGATTAACAATTACAGACCTATATCTCATATGTCAATAATATACAAATCAATATTTATATGTGCCAAAATATTTGATAGTTTTATATGTGATATTTTAGCTTTTAAAACTTTTAAAATTTACTCTTGATGGGCAACATGGGTTCCATTCTGGTCAGTCAAAAAACTACAAATTTATTCATTTCCAATATGATTCCAGATGATTTTTCTCAGCACAATCAAATTGATACACAGATTTTAGTAAGGCGTTTGAAAAGGTCAAACACAGTATTCTGGTTCACGAAATGCATTTAATGTGCAAGACTTTTTGAGCTGGTTAAGTTCATACTTGAGTGATCGACTGCAGATAGTAAAATGTAATGATAACTTATCCTGAAAATTCTATGCAACCTCATGTGTACCTCAAGGTGGGCATTTATCTTAGTTACTTTTTAAAAATTTTGTTGCAGATCTGGTTAAATGCATTGTACACAGTAAAATACTTATATTTGCTGACGATGCGAAAATATACAAATGTGTTAAATCAACTGATGATTGTGCACAAATAGAATTAGGCATAAATAATCTGTATTCATGGTCTGAATGAAATCGTTTGTTTCTAAACATTGCTAAGTTTAAATAAAGTACATTTTATGATTATACTATTAATTATGTGTCGCTGGAAAGAACAAATTCAGTAAAAGACTAAAAGGAAAATATTTAGACTCTAAATTGTCCTTTGATCAGCATATCAACTTTGATAAAAGAAAAAAAAATGTATATTAGAAATTTCATATGGTTTTAATCATATGACTGTATTGAAAAAGTTATATTGTAAAGAGCAAATTAGAACATGTCTGTTGTCTGGAGTCCATTTTATAGCTCCTGAATTGGTTAGATTGAACTTGTAAAGAATACATTTCTCCGATTTGTTTCTTATACATTTAACCATGGTGATACAAATTAGGTTATAAATCAATTAATGCTAACAATAGTAAGACAAGTGAATGAATGTGAGAATATTGAATTGCTCAATACTTTTGTTCATAATGATTATATGGAGATCGTGAGAAGCGGTCTGGTGTGACGTAGGTTTTAGAAAAACATGTCCTTTATTGTGCCAACGTTTTGATCTTTATTGAGATCTTCAGGGCCTGGGATTTATAAACATTGTTTAAATTTTACAAATATATGTAGGATGAGAAAAAAAATGAATTTATACAATGTTAGAAATTTTAGATTGAATCAAAGTATTTATACTCACTCAAAGTGTTTGTTTTCTACGTAATTGTGTCATTCTTGTGTGTCGTGTTAAGAGTGCCAGTGAGATATTGATGTTTTATGTTTATATATGTTGGATTTTGAAGGGGTGGGGAAGAAAGTCGTGATAGAAAGACATTTTTATATGAGGAGTTGGCTTCTTTGAGGTGAAAGGAGCCGACAATGGGAAAAAAATGGGTAATGGTTCGGCCTGATTATCCTTCAGGTTTATATAGATTGGGATAATTAGGGAAAGGAAAGCCTGTTCATAACCTAAAGAAAGTTGTATTAAACTCTAGTCATTATTAGTGAAATTTGTTCCATTTATAAAATAATTTTTGGTTTGTTATGTGTTTAGTATTTAATATCCAATATATATGTATATTGATATATTTGTATTTGTTTAGTATAATTACCAATGTATATTATTTATCTGTATATATACTACACTGGCTGTAGACTGTTAATAAATATTNCCCCTTTTTTGTTTG